TAATTAACTTTAATGTTCTTAAAACATCTTGCGGAAGAATAAAAAGAATATTTGCGAACAATAAAAACCCGCCAAATTTGCGAACAAACTAGTTCTATTGGTTCAAAAAACACACTGACTAAGCAAAATAAAGTTCTAGAATATTCTGTTGAAATGTTTTAAAAATTGTATTATTTACGATTTGTTGCGTTTTGAGATATCCAGCATAAATTTTTTTAAGAATATATTATCAAATGAACTATTGCTTTAATATTATGGCTCATTCTCGGAGCCACATCTGTAAATAGTGATTTCGCCGGTTATCCGTTTCAAAAACCGGATAACAGTTCTCATCAATTTGTGGTTAACCAACTATTCAGTTAATTAGTGACGTTTTCTGAATACAGGATCTTCTAAATTTCAACGAACGTAGCGTTTTAAACTAATTTTTTAAAAATTAATGTTAAAGTCTACATTTTCAAGACAGTTAGTGAATACAGTCCTATATTATATATTTATAACAAAACATGGAAAAAGATATGAGTGGGTCAGAAGCTAAGGGGTACAAGTGACAATTTTACCAAAATTAAGTTAAGTATAGAATTTGATAGAAGAAGCAAACCAAATTGTTGGTGGCCAAGGGATACAAGTGAATCTCTGCCCTGTGCTGCTTTCTACTGGAAAAACATAACAACAGCTGAGTATATTTAACAAAAATACTTTAACTTTAAACAACTGTATCTCAAAACTATGAAAATGTCACTTGTACCCCTTGGCTTCTGACCCACTCATATATATTTTTTTAATATTATAATATAATATACCTATTTAATTATTTAATTAAAAAAGGTAGGAATAATGTACAAGTATAGTTTAAATGTTTTTACATCAGCGGATATTTTAAAATCATTCTTTCATATAAAAACATTTGATTTGGAAAAATGAGACGCCACGAAGTAAATTTTTCTAGCGTGTATTGTTATGCGGACATAGATGGAAACATAGATAAACTTGATTAAATTAAAATTTCTATTATGGATGTAACTTTTTATTAATTTTTATACAATATTTCAAGGGATTATTGATACCCTTGTTGTCAAGTATATAAATATATATATCCATAATAGAAGTTTTAATTTAATTATATTTCAAACTCTTTAATGATGTCTTTGAAAATTTAGATAAACTTGAATGTTCTCAAAGCAACTTGTTGCGTAAAGATAATATAAAGAATATGTGCTAACACTAAAATACCGCCAAATCTACGAATAAACAAATTCTATTGGTTCAAAAAATACGCTGAATAAGCGAATTAGAGTTCCAGAATATACTGAAGAAACTTTCTTAAAAATGTATTGCTTGAGTTGTAAAAGTAATAAATAAATCTTTGAGATTTTTATTGTAAATTGTTTTAAGAATATATTATCAAACAAAACTGATTAAATTAACATTTAAATTAATAAAAGAAATATATTATAATCTTTGATAAATTAACATTTGTCAAACAATAATCGTCATAATTACGATGTTACTTTCTATAAAATTTCGTAACATTTTTAAGTCGGTTTTTATTATTCGAAAATAGATATTTGATATTCCAACAAAATCCAGTTAACCGCAAAACCGGATAACCGGCAAAACCACTATCTGTAAAGCCGTAAAACTTTTAAACTATTATCATTTGTTTACAAAAATAAATGTTTTATAATATATATTTTTTAAATTGTCAAAATTTTGAAAGTTAATTACAAATTATATATTTTATTAATATATTCTTAATTTTTATATCTTTTCTTAGTGCTTGGTTTAATTAATTGTTCATTAGATTTGTAAAAAACTAACGAACAATTAATAAAATAAACTTTTAATAAAATAAGTAACTATAGTTAGCTATTTGAGTAAAGTTTAATAGTAAAATTTTTAAAGAATTTCTAGAATGTTCCCAATGGCGTCATGCTCTAAAACTCCTATGAATTAAACGCGCTTGAATAAGTTATCAAGTCTGTAAAATGCGCCTGGAAAATCGCATTTATTTTACATACTCAAAATACCAGAGAAAACAGAGAAGACGAGCTTCGACTAAAACAACAAGATTTGTTTTTCTTGGTATACATTTATTAATTAGTTTTAATCAAAAAAAAATTTGCTCAGACGTTTTTTTTTAACATTCTCTTTAATATGAACACAACATGTCTCGCGACTTGGTAGTCCCTTTAACCAATTAAATATTGTGCTAAAACTATTTGCACTTTGTATGAAACATGAATATTGATTTTTGTTTAGGTGGAAAGTTTGAGGAATTATTTATTTAAAAATTTAAATGTTTTAAATTAGAAATTATTTGATAATAAAAATAATAATAATACAGATGTATTTTAAAATAAGTCATTAAATTAGTTTTTATATGTTTTAAATAATAATTTAACATGAGTTTAAATTAGTTTTAATGTATTTTTAAACTTCTATCTTTAATATTGTATACATATCTGCAAAAGAGTTATGAGCATTTAATTTGGAACGACTAAATAAGCGCAAATTTTATAAGTGCGAAGTTGCATAAGTGCGAAGCAGTTACAAAAACTGGCACATGTGCGAACTGGCATAAGTGCGCCAAAATTATTTGCAAACTTTGGCATAAGTGCGAATTGGCATAAATGCGAATTGGCATAAGTGTGAATCAGTTACAAAAACTGGCACAAGTGCGAACTGGCATAAATGCGAATTAGCATAAATGTGCCGAATAAAATTGCGAACATTGGAATAAGTGCGAATTGGCATAAAAGCAAAATCTGGCATAAGTGCCCCAAAAAAATTTTTTAACATTGCCATAAGTGTAAACTGGCATAAGTGTGAACTGGCATAAGTGCAAAATACCAGTTTGCATTTATTTTAAAATTTGTAATTATTCGGCACACTTATGTTAATTTGCACTTATACCAGTTTACATTTATGGCAACGTTTACGAATTCTTTTGATGCACTTATGCCAATAATTTTGACGCGCCTATGCCATTTCACACTTATGCTAGTTCACACTTGTGCCAGTTTTTGCAACTGCTTTGCACATATGTCAGTTCACACTTGTGCCAATGTTTGCAAATTTATTCGATGCACTTATGCCAATGTTTGCTAATTCTTTTGGTGCACTTATGCTAATTCGCAATTATGCCAGTTCGCACTTGTGCCAGTTTTTGTAACTGCTTCGCACTTACGCTAGTTCACACTTGTGCCAATGTTTGCAAATTTATTCGATGCACTTATGCCAGTTTTTATAATGCTTGGCACTTATGCCAGTTCGCACTTATGAAATTGGTGCTTATTCAGCCTCCCGTTTAATTTATAAGTAAATACAATAATTATATAATAATAATTATAAGATTTAAATAAGATATAAAAGTATTTTATATCTAAAATATCTTATTATAGGTTTAAAAGTATTTTATATCTTATATCTTATCTTATCTTAAGGTATAAAAGTATTTTGTATCTATTTCACAATTTCTTTTATTTAAAATATTTGATCACCACTAAATTGCTTTAGACTGTTGTGATTAGCGGTTGTTTTTTAATAATTATATCATACTTTATTGTGCTTTATTTTTCTAATTGTAATTCATTTGGTATTCTGATGATTTATCAAATGAATTAAAATTTAAATCATAGTTTTTAATAATAATAAAAATATTAGTAATTATATAGTTTTATAATAAGATTTTATATCATAATTCAGGACCAATATAAATAAATTTTATTGAATAATAGCTATTGAGTTTAGTGATCAAAACAGAACTTCTAGACTGGGAGCATTTCCAAATATCACAATTTGTGTGCCTTTGATTATCTTTTAGCCTTCAAATACCTCAAAGCCTTCTTATAAGCCTCATATCCTGTAGCCATCAAATATATTATATCCTTCTACCTCAAAAAAATGCTACTGCATCGACTAAGAGCTTGGGCTAGGGCAGCAATTTTTTTTTCATTCTTTGTTTTCTCTTCTTTTTCTGAAATTTAAATCTTGATTTAGCTATGTCAAGTTTATCAAACAAATTTTTGTGAAGATTTTCTCTACAATGGCTTCAAGATAAACTCCCAATTTCGAGACTGTTATCCAAATCAGAAGTTTGAGATAAATCATTTTTGCAATTTTAGGATAGGTCATGCTACCCATGTAGGTGACTGTCTATGTACTGAGTTTTAGGTTAAAATCTCATTTAGTTCTTAAATATTTAATGTAAAAAATTTGCAAGAAACACTAATAAATAAATTAATAAACTAGTTCATTTGTTCTTGATTGATAATTTGTTATTGTCCCACAAAAGTGATGGCATTTTAATAATGGAGTTTTCTATAAATTGGTTTTTTTTTATTAAAAAGTAATTTATTTATGTATTTTTTTATTTAAAGTAATAATTATCAATATTAAATATGATAAAAATTTGAGTTTATTTTTAAAAGTCATTTTTTAATTTTGTTTGTTTTGTCATAATTTTTTTTTAATTTGTGTTAATAATTACTTTAGTGAAAAAGTTAGTTATTTACTTTCTTATTTTAAAATTAATGTAATTCATATTTCATTGAACTTTTATTTAGTGTTATAATTTAAGTTTTTATTTTAATTAGTGTTATAATTTAAGTTTTTATTTTAATTAGTGTTATAATTTAGATTAATAAATTTTACTGATTACTGTTTGTAATAGTGATTAATTACTAAATCATTTTTATGCTATTTAAAGTTATGTTTGTTGTGTTATTAAAAGTTGTGTTTGTTTGTCTTTATTTAATAAATGAGATTCTATTAGATTAAAAATATTTTTTTTTTTTTGTTTTTTTTTTGTTTTCACAGTGCAACCTAAAAATTAAAATAATAATTTTTAAATGAAATTTATTTTATAAATAAGTATATTTAATAGTTTTAAAACTATTTTTAAGTATTTATTTTTCTCATTTTGTTGACAACACTAAAAAAAATATTGTTACATTCAATTTTAACTTGTTTTGGAGTCCATTTTTTGTTAACTTTAGATAAATGTACCATGCAATGTTCCTGGTATAGACAGTTCTTATCTTGCAATGGACACTGAAGAAGGTGTTGAAGTTATATGGAACGAATTGATGTTTTCTGAAATTAAAGCCTGGAAGAAAAAAGAGGTTTCTTATGAGTTTTTATAGATTAAGATTTTCTGATTATTCTTTATAGATAAACACAGTGTAAAATGAAAAAAACTGGATAAGTGATTTTCTTATAGTTTGATTGCTCTGTTCTTTTAAGAACAATGAGCATTCTATTTTGAAGAATTTTTCTTAAATTACAAATTATTTGTGTATATGTGTTTTAAATTGTTAAAACATCAAAACAGCTGTGGTCATATTGTAAAAAAAAAAACTAAGCGTTGTCAGTTACAGCGCGCGATATGATATATATATATATATATATATATATATATATATATATATATATATATATATATATATATGTATATATATATATATAGGGACTTTATAAAAAATTAAATTGAGCCCTATATATGTATGTTTATATATATATATATATATAATATATATATATATATATATATATATATATATATATATATATATAAGTGTTGTCAGTTACAGCGTGCAATCGCAAGCCATTCCTGTCCAAGTTATATATATATATTAGGGATGTACCGAAGCTAAAATTTTGCCGAAGCCACTTTGCCGAAACCGAAGTTTCGGCCGAAGCCGAAGCTTCGGCACTATATATGCTTAAAATTTAATCAGCATTCAGATCAGCAGGGGTGTAAAACAAAAAAGGTTCCAAAACTAAGATCCTTGACTAATAATATAGAAAAAATGTACAAAAATGAGGACACAAGTCAGGGTTGCTGCCCCAGGCAGGGCAAAAGCTCTCAGCGCCCCTGTTTGAAAGTTTCTCATTATGTCGTTTCTGATACTTCACCGCACCTAGTGTTTTTTTTAAAAACTTAAGCTTTTTTGAAACATTTTCCCCAAATTTTCCTACTTCTAATTCTACTTTTTCTTTGTGCAAACCATATTAATGTTATATAGTGCACAATATCAGTAACTAACATATATTTCCAACTATTCCTAATATTCTTTTAAGATTATTGCTATTTTTTTGATCTTTTATAGCCATACTGTTCTTCTATGTAAACATCGTTTCTCTTTAATCCTCTATCTAATCATCTAATTTTTAATCCTCTATTTAATCATCTTGTTTGCTCTATCTAATTATAATGTGCTAGCTCAACATCCTCAAATTTTATTCCCCATAAATTACTGTTACGCATCTTTTTATGTGCTGTATATTTTATTTTTATTTTTAATGCACCTTTTATTAAGAGTGGATAAAAATCTCTGAATATTACTCAAGTAAATTAATCTTTTACACTTGAACACTCTTTCTCTAATTTAACACTCTTAGCTGATCTAGTTGTATCTACAACATAAAAAATCTTACAAACACACTTTATCTTTTTATTGCTATTTATTTCAAGATCTTTTTTTTACTTCTCTGTATTCATTAAACGAACAATTTCTAAGCTAAAAAAAACCCTACGTTAAGACCATTTTGTATTCCACTACAGCTGTTGTGAACCTGCTGCTAAAAAAAAGTACAATTGATAGATTTCTCTCTGACTTCTTTTTTACACACTTTTAAGTTGTTGTTGTTGTTTTTTTTATTATTTTTAATTTTACACTACATAACATTTTCTTAAGCTTCTTTTAATCTTTTACACTCTGAAATTATAGTATTCATTCTTCTTCTGTCTCTGTAATGGATAAATCTGCATCAGTATCTGAAATCAAATATTAACTATCTGTGACAAAAACTTCTATAGTAATCTAACAACTCAGTAGAGTGAGCTTTAAATAAAATAATAAATAGAATACTTTATAAATATTTTATTTATAATTATATTATTATTTACTTTATATTTATAAATAAACAGGGATTGAGCAGGCTGGTATTTATTTGATTTAAATTGTTTATTTAATTTAAATAAATTTTGATGATAAATATAAGAGCTCAAAGTATTCAAAGCTTTAACCTTTAATTTATTTTAAATAAAATTTAAAAGTCTTCATATCATAAGAAGAAACCAGAATATAAGTTTATATGTTTAATATATAAATTCAATTTAGAAGTATTCATGTTATTAATAAAAGAGCAAGGATAATTATTATCATTGTTTTTCTTTTTCTTTTAATTTATATAGTTTTGGTTGACTTTTTTTTTCTTTTTTTATTCTCCTCATTTATATTTCATTTGCATTTCTTCCTTTTTTGTTGTTGAGAACTTTATGTTTTTTATGTGTCACTCCATTGACTAGTTTGTAACTATATAAGTGACACCTTACCAATTTCTGTAATCTTACAATGAAAATTTGTAAATTTTTATTATTATGGTTAAATAAAATTTAACATACGCAGAATTTAAAATAGTAGCAACGTATTTTTAATCTTCTTTAAAGTGAGATTACTAAGGTTTATAGGTCAAATGTTGAAACCAATTTTTGTTCTATTTGCGGTAATCCCACACAAAAATTAATATAAATTCGTTACATAATACAAATTAAGGGTTTTTTTTTCCATTTTATTTTAAAAAATTTTAATTTGTTTTAAATTATAAGGTTTTTATTCTGCATAAAAATGCTAATTCAGTTCCTCTAAGTCACACTTGGAAGCCTTCAAAGTGTATGAAGACCTTCCTTAATTTTACTATTATATTCAAAATATTTCTACTTATTTATTATCATCCTCTCCATAACAAGACATTTGGGAGTAAATAATACTAAGTATATGGTATAGACTCCAACTTTAACTCTGTAGTCCTGAATTTACAACTTAATTAGACACTGGCAATTAGCATATTTTTATAACTTGTGCAACAGTAGCTTATAACTTTAATTACTTAAAATTTTTTGCCGAAGCCAAAGATTCGGCAAAAATTTGACCTGGCTTCGGCCGAACCGAAGCTTCGGCAAAATTGCCGAAGCTTCGGTACATCCCTAATATATATATCATTCTAGGACTATTTCATATAATATATTATATATATTTGATATAAATATATCAGGCTAGGACTATTTTGTTAAAAAATTAACAAAAATTTGTGATGAAATGTTCTAAATAATAAGGAAAGAAACTACAACTTCACTAGAATAGGTTCCATTAAACCCTAAAAATTGTATTTTATAATTTGATCAGACACTGTCCCACTTAAACAAATTTTGATTGGACATTTTGTTTGGGACTTTATAAAAAATTAAATTGAGCCCTATATATGTATATATATATATATATATATATATATATATATATATATATATATATATATATATATATATAGAGAGAGAGAGAGAGAGAGAGAGAGAGAGAGAGAGAGTGTTTTATTTTAGACAACTTGATCACAGTCTTTTGCAAGTTTTATAATATAAATCATGGCGGAAAAAGTTTTAAAAAACAAAAAAAGCAAAAATAAAAAAATAGGAAATAAAAAGAAATTCAAATAGAAAATAATATAATAGAAATTAATATTTTAAATAATTTATGTACTGATTTTATTTTTGTTTGTTTTTTAGAGTGGTTGTTACATTCAGCAACAAAATTAGATAAGGCAAAGTAAAAAAAAAAGTCTACAATAAAAATAATGGTTTTCCTTTATTTAACTTTTTTTAAAGAGGAAAACGAAAATATAAATTGCAATATATTTGTAAAATATATTTATATAACAACAAGAGTTGAATTAAGCAATCACGAAATGCAAAATCTGGAAAAATATCTAGTCTTCAAAGTTTTTGTATATACAAAAACATGTTCTTTGTTTTCAAGGGGCGAATCAATTTTAATTTGTTAGCGAAAAAGTTATAAAAAATAAAACAATAAACTTACCCATACATAAGTAATAACACTCTTGTGACTAACTGCATTCTAAAAGTAACAACACTATAATAGTGTTATTACTTTTATAATGCACTATAAAATTTTATAATTCATTCTTTGTTCAAATAAGATAAGTTTTCCCAAATTTTAATTTAAGTAGAAAAGCATCTAGAAAAATATAGTGGATATCCTATAATATTTAAAACTTAAGTAACTTTTAAAAACGTAAACGTAACTTCATCAAAATGTAATGTATAAAAAGTTTAGCATTATTAAAAACGTTACTAATGACACATAAAGACGTGTGTTAATTTTCAAATCAACCAATAAAAATTTTTATTACTTGATTTTAAAATTAGTGACAATTTTCATAATGCTTAACTTTTTATTAAGTGCATTTTTATAAATTTGTTTAATTAATTTGTAAAAATTCCTCAAGGTTTTTATATTTGAATATCCACTTTATTTTTTCTAGATGCTTTTCTACTTTATTTATTGTTTGGAATTACTAATGTTGTTTGAAGAAAGAATCACTACTAAAAACTAAAAGTACTAAGTGCTTTATAAAAGTAATAACACTATTATAGTTTTACTACTTTTATAATGCAGTGATGAGAGTATTATTACTTTTATAGTTTATTGTTTGTTTTGTTTTTATATTTTCTCGCTAACAAAGTTATAATAATTTGCTCCTTGAAAACTAAGCACACAGCTTTGCATAAACTAAAATTTTGAAGATCAGATTTTTTTCCAGGGTTTGCAAATTGCAATCGTTAGATTGCGATTTGCAAACCCTGGAATACTAGATTATTTTAAGAGATTAACACTTAGAATTTGTGTTCTAGGTTCTCTCAATGTTAATTACGTTAGGGTCAGATCTAAACTTTGTGTTTTTAATGCTGCAGCAATAACAAATTTTTTTCTTATTATTGATTAACATGAAATATCCGGCATAACCAACTAAATTATTTTATTATCCGGCTACAAACCATATAATATACAAAACCCTAGTATTTTGAATTACGCAATACTTATCTATTCTTACTAATTTCGCCTGAATCCATTTGTCTTTTTATTTTCTTAGAAAAAAATTAAAAATCCAGGGTTTAGTTTGTTTGTTAAAGCTTGTGTTTTGGAGTAAAAGAGAGGGTTTTAACAACCATTCAACAAAAAAAAAATAAAAAAAATAGAGCTTTGTGCAAGGGATATTGCATTAAAATAGATTTCCTAAGTAACAGAAATTTGTTTGTACTCTGTATTATTAACCATTTATTTAAACAGTATTAGCACTTATTCTTATTTGGTCAGTTAAGCATAGATTAATTTGCTTACATACTTTTTTTTACTAATTTGTGCTTACTATGTTTACTGTGTTAATGTTTTCCACAGTTCATACATAATTTATTTAAATACACAGTTCATATGTTAATTTATACAATTCATACATACTTTTACATACACAGTTCGTACATATATTGATTTACATATACAGTGATTATTATTAAAATTGGTTTCTATTAACTTAGGTTCTTTTATTTATTATTTATTAGGAAATATTCAAGAAAATATTTGACAATCTTTCGAAATTAATTGTAAGTTTTTTATTAAGTTTTTTTAATTATTAGTTTTTTTATTCAAATTTATTAAAAGTGCTTATCTAATCAACTTTTGTTTCTTACTTCTCATGGATGTTTCTCTTGATCATCTGTCAATTTTCATGTATTAATCCTTTTTATAATCCTGTTTCTTTTTAAAAATTTTGTTTTTCCTTAATTTTCATTATCTTAAACATTTTTTTTTTGTTTTTAAAATTTATAGTATTCACAAATAAACAAGGACCAAAATATTGTTTCCTTTCAACATTCAAACATTACTTTTTTTGTGCATTTGAATATTCTTTTCTAGTGTCTAAACATTCTTTTTTTGTGTTTAAACAATCTTTTTTGTGTCTAAACATTCTTTTTTGTGTCTAAACATTCTTTTTTTGTGTGACTAAACATGCTTTTTTGTCTTTAAACATTTTTTTTTTTTTGTATTTAAACATGCTGTTTTTGTGTTTTTAGCATCCAAATATTGTTACTTTTCATAAATATTGGGTTGATGTTAAAGAAGAGTACGCTAGGGTGAGTATATTAAATCGTTATGTCTAATTGTTTAGATTTTTTTATTTTTAGTAGTTAATTGACTTTTTAATCTAAGTTTATAAATTCTAAATTACAGCTCATATTTATTTCTGAGTATATGACTTCTGGGTCATTGCAACAGTTTCTCAAGAAAACAAAAGCTAATGTGAAGTATTTTAACATCAAGGTAATGCTGTTATAATGTGTATCATTGGTCAACTAGATATAGTTTTTATTATGTGTTTCTAAGGTCAACTAGATATAGTTTTTATTATATGTATCATAGGTCAACTAGATTTTTCTTAAATAAGATTGAGTTAGATTAAGTTATAACTTATTCCAAACTTTTTCTAAAATATTCTAACAAAGTAGTAAGTAACAAATTTAAAAAATTCATTTAAAATTTTTTATTTTTATGTAATGATGATAAATTTGAACTATTTTGGTGAACTGTTTAACATTATTAGTAAAAAAGTAAAGTGAAAAGTTATTTAGTTTTTATTTACCATTCTTTATATTATCATGTTATACTGCTAATATACAAAATTTAATACTTCAGTGTTTTGTTGTCTGTAATTCAAGTTAGTTAAAAAGTTTTTTAAATGATTGAAACATTTTGCTCTTATAAAGATTCTTTTATAGTTTATTTTAAGTTATAAAGTATTTTAAAAGCTACTTTAAGTTATAAAGTATTTTAAAAGCTACTTTAAGTTATAAAGTATTTTAAAAGCTATTTTAAGTTATAAAGTATTTTAAAAGCTATTTTAAGTTATAAAGTATTTTAAAAGCTATTTTAAGTTATAAAGTATTTTAAAAGCTACTTTAAGTTATAAAGTATTTTAAAAGCTACTTTAAGTTATAAAGTATTTTAAAAGCTACTTTAAGTTATAAAGTATTTTAAAAGCTATTTTAAGTTATAAAGTATTTTAAAAGCTATTTTAAGTTATAAAGTATTTTAAAAGCTATTTTAAGTTATAAAGTATTTTAAAAGCTACTTTAAGTTATAAAGTATTTTAAAAGCTATTTTAAGTTATAAAGTATTTTAAAAGCTATTTTAAGTTATAAAGTATTTTAAAAGCTATTTTAAGTTATAAAGTGTTTTAAAAGCTATTTTAAGTTATAAAGTATTTTAAAAGCTATTTTAAGTTATAAAGTGTTTTAAAAGCTATTTTAAGTTATAAAGTTTTTTAAAAGCTATTTTAGGTTTAAAGTATTTTAAAAGCTATTTTAAGTTATAAAGTATTTTAAAAGCTCGCATCTCGCATCTTATCACAGAAGTTAGGCTCTAAAGACTTTTGGAAAATCTTCAACAGCATTATTTACAAGGGTAGATCTAACATTCCATCTCTCATTCATGGGACTGATCTTATTACCTCTTCCAAAGATAAGGCAGAACTACTTGCTAAGAACTTTTCTTCTACTTCCACTCTTGAATCTTATGGACATTCTCTTCCTTCCATTCCAGTCAAACAGGTTGACTCAGTCAACCAGTCAAACAGGAGTTATCATCTCTAGTTCCATTAACTAAAATTCATTCTTGTTTTACTCGTCATTCAGCTAAGTCTCATTCGTTTACTGTATCTGTCCCTGCATGCTCTAAAAATTTTTATTCATCTAGTTTTTTTCCCCGCACTTCAATCCTTTGGAACTCTCTCCCATCTTCATGTTTTCCTGACGCTTACAACCTTCAACTTTTCAAGTCTTCTGTTAACCGTTTCCTTGCTCTATAACTCTGTCCTTTTTTTTCCTAGTAACTCCCAACTTAATAGTGGTTGCTTGCAGCCTTGTTGGGAATGAATGCAAATAAAAAAAAAAATAAAAAAAAAATAAAATAAAAAAGCTAACAAAAATATCCTAAATTTTGCATAATGGTAAAAAATTGGTAAAATTGAACTATTAAAAAGTTATTGTTTAATTGCTCTATTAAAGAAAATTACTTTAAGCGTAAATGAGTAAATAAATGCACTTAACAGTGAAATATGGAAAAAATATTTCATAAGAAATAGTTCCAAAAATGGTATTTTTATTTCAAATATCTTACTTGCATGTAAAATTTTTTAATGCCATCAATTGTAGTCAATCAAAAATGTAATCAATCATGACCAGCAAAATTCATAATTGGGAGGTCAAAATAGCAATTTTAGTCTTTTCGGGCTGAAATGACTATTATATGACTATATGACTATATATACTACTGAAATGACTTAAATATGTCAATGTTGAGCCTCTTTCCTCAAACTCATTCTTGCCTAACTCGTCATTCAGCAAAGTCTTGTATACGTTAGTGGTGTAGTGGTAAGAGCGTTCGCTTTGTAAGCGAGAGGTTCGGAGTTCGACTCCCACCATGTCCCTGGAAGTACCGCGCTCAACTTAATTTCTCCGCGCAGCGGCCTTGCTTGTCAAGGTTCGTGTTTTGGAGTTAACGAGTTGAGAGAGGGTTGTACCACAATTTACAACAAAAAATTAAAAAAAAAAAACAAAAAAAAATGAGTAGCCTCCTAGACTGTAATGGCCTCCTCGGGCCTTGGGGAGGTGAATAATTAAAAAAAAAAAAAAAAAAAAAGTTTTTTTATGTTTTCTGACAACCATTTTCTTGCTTTAGAGCCATTTACTTTTTTTTTTAGAAATTTCCAACTTAATAGTGGTTGCTTGCAGCCTTGTTGGCAGTGAAGCAGAAATAAAATATATATATATATATATATTTTTTTATTAAAGTACTCTATTATATAGAATTTTACAGAATTTACAAAATTAATATATATATATATAATATATATATATATATATATATATATATATATATATATATATAAATACCAGCCAATATTATGCATGTTGGTTGCATGTTGATTGAAAAAGTAAATCTACACATAGTTACACAATGTTAGACCAAGATTCATCATCTGTTGTATTAAAACAATATACAGTCATCATCTGTTTGTATTAAAACAATATACCATAATTGAGTGTGTTTTTTTGTCTTATACCCTAAAATTAAAATCACAAATAAATCCAGCAGTGGCAAAAGCAAACTGGAAATCACGTTTGTTAAAAAAGTTCAGAGGTATATTCCTCTAAAAAATTTTATAAATCACTTACATTCATTCCTCACCTATAGTTCTCAATGGTCACTACACCTTAGTGGCAAACCATTTGCTTAACCCTGGTTAAATCGAACCATTCGCTAACTTTTTTTTTAATTTTTACAGCTTTTACTGTCCATTTGACAAAAAACTTCGCTTAACTAGAGCTTTTACTTTGAATTGCATTCAAGTCCATGTAATAAAATATCAAAACTTGCAATACTTCAATAAATATTTTAAACTTAAATATTAAAAAATTAAATATCTAGTGCAATATTTATAAATATCTTATAAAGCTCATAATATCTTATAAAACATCTAAAATATATAAAATATCATATCTTATAAAATATTTTATAAATATCTTATAAATATCTTATATATCTAGCGTAAAAAATTTATCAAACTAAAACTTTGATTTGATTTCGTACAGGTTCGATCACATTTTATTAATTAATGACTATTTAAAACTCAATAGCACCAAAATGTTGGAATATCAAATATTTTTTGCAAAATATAAGTTAATAAACTAAATATATTCACTGGTATCTTTGAATCGGTTAAGTTTATATTAAAGTCTAATATATATATATATATATATATATATATATATATATATATATATATATATATATATATATATATATATATATATATATATATATATATATATATATATATATATATATATATATATATTGTATATAATATTACTGTTGCTAGAAATAACCTTAAGTAATATTAAAAGAAAAAATTTAAAGTATTTCATAATATATATAGACTTTATAATATACATAAATCTGCAATTTTTTTTTGAGGCTTGGAAACGATGGTGTCAGCAAATTCTATCTGCTTTAAGGTATATTTTTAAAACTCAAAAATGCTAATTATTATAAATGTGGTTTTTAACAATTAATGTTTTGTTTTACACAATCTTATGTAACATAACTTGTGTGCTGTGTTTGAATTTCACTTATTGTTTTAAAATACACCAGCAGTAAGCAAATTGTAAACTCTTTATATTAATGCTGAACTTAATAGTAGTAGTAGCAGTCTTCTCCATTTAGGCAGCGCTTTTGCCAAGAAAAACAATAACGTTTTTTTTTTAATTGCAAAAAAACTTTTTTGTTCATTTGTTCAACTTTTATGAAAAATGGCTTTTTTTTACTAGTTGTTTTTTTTAATTATTTTATCTAGTATTTATTTGAAGCATTCTTTTCTCTATTTTTATTTTAATTTAAATAGCAGAAAAAATGAATTACTTAAATCACGTAGGCTAACTTGAAAATAACCATCCTGCCAGCGCTTTTTTGTTCTCTGGCATTAAATTTCAAACGGAGAAGACTAGTAGTAGTAGTAGTTTAGTCATAGTAGTAGTCATGCATGTTTGATATGGAACTCTGTTAACTCTATTAACATGGAACTCTTGGCAACCATTAAAGCTGAGGTAATGACGTATGATTGAAAATCATACCAAAAACTTAAAATTTTGTATGGTTTTAAATTTTTATTAAATTTAGAAAAATAGTTTTTTTTGTCGATTTCCACAAGATATTTTCAGATTTCTAAATAAAATTTGAAAAAGTCTATCATTTACAAATTACTTAACTTTTTAGTTAGTAAATAGCGCATATCCATCTGCTTCTTAAAAGTATCAAAACTGCAAATAATCAAACCATTGCAGTACGTATAATATTTAGAATCTTGCACTAACAGCTATTTGTTTAAAAACAAATTTGGTTTAAATAGTTTAAATATTAAGTCAGTTTCAATATTGAACTAGTATACCTGAAATTTTAACTTCATGTATTTTTTGTTTTTGATCACTAAAAGGTTCACATGATAATTTGATTAGGATATACTACATTATATATTTATATATATATATATATATATATATATATATATATATATATATATATATACTCATATAGTGTCGCTTTAAGAGCATTTTAATGTAAAAAAAGTCTCTTACGACTACAATTTTAATTACTCGTCTCTTAAGCTGTTTTTGATTGTCATCGAAATGTCAAAGCAATTAATTTATGCGGAAGTACATTAAATTTAATTGTTTTTTAAAAAATTTTTAAAAAACCGCAATTATAACGACTAGAAAGTTTTTTTTAATTAGTGGTGTTTTTGTTATTGATTTAATAAAAAACATTTTTAAAACATGCGTAAATGTTGCTACATCGACTATCTTATAGTCTGACTCGCAACGGAGTGCTGCTACATCGACTGACAAATAGCCTGACTCGCAACGGAGTGCTGCTACATCGACTGACAAATAGCCTGACTCGCAACGGAGTGCTGCTACATCGACTGACAAATAGCCTGACTCGCAAGGGAATGCTGCTACATCGACTGACAAATAGCCTGACTCGCAAGGGAGTGCTGCTACAACGACTGACAAATAGCCTGACTCGCAAGAGAGTGCTGCTACATCGACTGAGGGTTTGGTTTGGCCAGGCAGTCTATCAATTAAAAAAAAAAATTTAATTTTTAAAACTTTTTCTGGTCTGGTTTATTAACGCGCTCTTTAAAACTACAGTTTATGGGAAATATTTTTTGATGCTACGCAAGAGACATGCAAGACTATATATATATATATATATACATATATATATATATATATATATATATATATATATATATATATATATATATATATATATATATATATATATGTATATGTATATATATATATATATATATATATATATATATATATATATATATATATATATATATATATATATATATATATATATATATATATATGTATGTATGTATGTATATATATATATATATATATATATATATATATATATATATATATATACATATATATATATATATATATATATATATATATATATATATATATATATATATATATATATATATATATATATATATATATATATATATATATAGGGGAGATAGTAATGCATTGATTGTCGGGGCATTATGATCTTTTAGCTTTTACTCGTATATTTTTGCCTTATTTTGACAGAGATTGCAAATTAATTAACCATTGTAGTACCCTTTCTTGTTTAATCGTAATATTATTGATATGATCAACTTCTGCATTAAAAAAGTAAAAAAATACAGTTTTTCATAATGAAAAGTGATTTTTTGAAAGTAGTAAACAAATTCAAATTCTTTTTTTAAACAATTATTTTATTTTAAACTTTTTTTAATTTTCAGGTCTTTTAATGGTTAGGTATAAAAAAAAAACAAAAAAACAAGCAGACAGAGTTGCTATACCATGCAATACAATAAAAGCAGCTATTAATGAAGTTTTAGAAGGCAGACCAGTGAATGTTGTAGCTTGCAAGTTTATCATAAACTGAAAGACTTTAAAAAGATATTGTCATAAAAAGAAGCTCAATCCAAATGAATCTTCTAAGCCTAATTACAACAATAAACAATTTTTCACTGCAAAAGGTGAAAAAAGTTTATCAAGTGATTTAATACTTGTATCAAAAAAAAACTATCAACTAAGTCAACACGATTATTGACATATAAGTTTGCTGTAAAAAATAGTGAGATCTGCTCATCATCATGGATCAAAAATAAAGTTGCAGAGATTGATTGGTTGCAAGGTTTTATGAAAAGACAACTAAAGTTGTCTTTACAAACACCTGAAGCAACTAGCTTTGCTCCTTAAACTGCCTATAACTAACACACTGTAGGAGAATTATTTCAAAATCTAAAAACAGTAAGAAATTGATATAAATATGATCCTTATTGCATATATAACGTTGATGAAACTGGTTTAACAAGGGTACAAAGCCAGTAAAAGTTTTAGCTAATAAAGGAAGTAAACAAGTAGGAAGAATCACATCTGCAGAACGAGGAACATGAGTAACGGTATGTTGTGCTTCAAATGCAATTGGAAATTCTATTCCTCCACTATTTTTTTTTCCTAGGGTCAAATTTCATGATTACATGATAAAGGAAGGTCCTCCTGGATGCGTGCAATTTGCAAATCCTTCTGGTTGGATGAATTCAAACATTTTTATAGAATAGATAAAACATTTTGTGATGTATTCAAACAGTTCTCATGAATCTCCAGTTTTGAAAGCCATAAAAGTCATATTTCTGTTAGAGCTTTGGATCTTGCAATTCAAAATGGAATTACAATGCTAAGTTTTTCTCCCCATTGCACCTATTAATTGCAACCATTGGGTAGAACTCTTTTTAGACCATTGAAAAAGTACTACGCAGGGGGTATTCTAGAAAAAAAGTTTAGGCGGTGGTGCCTCGGTCCCAGAGAAATAAAGCAAAAAAATCGATGTTTTTTTGCAAAAATTACTATATAATTTGTGCGGCGCCCAAATACGGTCGATGCTATCTGAATATGGTCGAAAATGGTCTAGAATAGCCCCTGCTACAATGCTGCATGTGACAATTGGACGGTCACAAATCCAAGACCTAGGACCATTTATAATATTGTTTTAATAGTTCGCAATCCATATACAAAAGCTTTCTCACCATCTAATATACAGAGAGGACTTGGCATGTAGTAGTAGCTGGCATTGAACCATTTATTCCAGAAATTTTTTGAAGAGGATGAATATTTATCATCATCAGCTACAGATCGTGCTGCTCCAAATGCAGTAAACATAATTATTGTGGAACCTGAAATGACTGTAGAAAATGTTGATGGCATGGAGCCTGAAATTGCTGTAGTACATCATTAAACAAGTTTTTTGAACAACCTGTCACCAAGCATTGCTTCATTACTCTCACCTGAAGTTTTGAAACCTTATCCAAAAGCACCTGCTAGAAAAAGAAGTGTTAAAAGTAGGCAACTAAAAACAAGGATCTTGACTGATTCTCCAATCAGAAATAAAGTTTGTTTGTCAGAAGAAAAGAAAACCCTAAACCAAACTAACCAACAAAAGATAAAAAAAATAGTAAAAATGATAAAAAAAGGGGAGAAGTTAAAAACTACTTGCTTACAAATAAAAAACAATGTAATTTAAAAGCAGCTTCACGACTTGACTTTAGTAATATAAAAAAGTAATCTTCAAATAATAATTAAACACAGCTTCACAACTTGACTTTGACAAATAATGATAATAAAAATTTATATACTTAAAACTTTATATACTGGTATGTATTAAGTTGTAACGATATATATATTTTTTTAATTTTTTAAGATGTCTTATATAATATACATTAATACCCTTTAACTAAAGCATTTGTAGCACTTAGGTATAGCAGTATTAAACATCTAAATAATGTTACTCATATAAGATCAAAGTTCCTCAAGCCAGAGATCATAGTACCATTGCAAGGGGTACATTGATCATTTGCAAGGGTTTTCATAATATTGAAATATATCATGTTTATCAATTTTTTTTTATTAAAACATTTTTTTTATTTTTACTTAAAGACAGATTGTTCTAGTTTAGTTTAGTAATTAATAAGTTTTTATATCTATATCAGGTTGTTCGCAGTTTACAAAAAAATGCTACGGCAATCAATGCCCCCTATCTCCCCTATATACACACACATATATATATATATATATACATATATATATATATATATATATATATATATATATATATATATATATATATATATATATATATATATATATTTATATGTATTTATATATATTTATATATATATATATATATATATATATATTATATATATATATATATATATATATATATATATATATATATATATATATATATATATATATATATATATATATATATATATATATCAATAATAACAATTTAACTTAATATATAATGTAAAATTATAACAAAATGTAATTTTATCTATAAATAATCTATTTAGCTCTGCTTGCTTCTAGTTAACAACATAACATCAGTTATGAAATCATCAAAAGCTTAATAATTGTAAAAAAGTCTAAATTACCTAAGACTTTAGTAATAACATAGTTCCGTTAATTGGTCCCTTTATTAAAAACCCTCATTTCCTCATTAAAGAGAGAGAGGCTCGCAATGTTTCTAAGGCATTGCGTTAACAAAAGTTAAATAGACATAACAAATTATTATGCTCAAAATGACCAAAATTGCTGTTTTGACCTCCCAAAATAAATTGTTGCTAATCAAGGTTAAAAAAAACTTTTTTTAACCTTTTGTTTCATTTTACAATAAAATCAATATAATATAAAATATGAAACTCATATGCAAATTAAATTAGCTCATGAACAAAATATTAATACTCAAACAAAATAGATTAGTTTATAAATAAAATAGACTAGCTCTTAAACAAAGTAGATTAACTCTTAAACAAAATAGATTAACTCTTAAACAAAATAGATTAACTCTTAAACAAAATAGATTAAAAGGATCCCCAAGTGTCAAGACAACTTGTGTTTATTTCATAACATTAGAAAATAAGCTTAGTATTGATGATCATTTTTTTGAAATGAAATAAATTTTTAGTTTGAAATAACTATAAACTTGAGTAACTCTTTTAATTTGTTAATTATTCATATTGTCATAAAAGAATAAGTGCAAAAGGGAAAATTCAAATTATATTTATAAATTGATTTTAAGTTATTTGAAAGATCTTTTAAGTATTAAAATCAAATTTTGATTAAAAAAGTGCATTAATTAGTCCAGATTTTTAGTAAAAAAAACTTAAAAAAGGGTTTTCAAAATAATCTGGATTTATAACACTTTGTAATACTTATCATCATACAGTCATTAAAAAATTATTTATAATTATTTTTCTGCCAAAAATAAACATTGAAAGTAAACTATTAAATTAATTGTTTGCTTATACAAAAAAAAAAATACATAGGTAACCTGTGAAGAACTTAACAACTACTCTTTTACCCAACTACCTATTTTAAAAGTATTTATTTTGTACCTTTACCAATATTTATAAATTTTCTATAGATTGACTCTCCAGACCTCTCTCAAACTGGCCCTTATATTTAATCTCTTTTGATTTTAAAAAATTGTAAGAAACCTTTTTGAAAAAAAAAACTTTTAACCTCTTGGTTTATTTTTCAATAAATCTTAATATGAATGAGATCTTAGAACTAAAGTAGCCAACTAGTGCATTTTCCTTACCCATGAGAGAAATATTGTTCTTTCAAAAGCATGGTTTAACAATCCTTAAAGTAAAGTTATAGGTAAGAATATAAATATAGGTGTTTTCTAATTACCAACAAATCCTTTTCCTCTTTTAGTAATAAAAGCAGAATATCACTTTTATCCTTTGAGCTACCCTTGAAAACTCTTCCTGCCAAATTTAAATATAACTGGTGTTTTTACATAAATAATGTTTCATACTTTTCCTAGAAATTTTACATTTTCTAGAAAAAATATTTAATAATTGGTAACACAACTTTTAACAACATTTAAATAGTAATTGTTTCATTTCATGAGTTCTCAATAGGTCTCAATAAGTTTATAATTGTTTACACTTTAGTTTGAAGGCGGTCTTTACAAGGTTTTCACAAAGCAATTGGCTTTAAAAAGTCCATATAGTAATGGGTATACTATCAGCTGTAAGGATTAGTTAAAAAAATGCAAGAATTTAAAATAATATTGATTATAAATCATATCCTTTTTTTTTTTTCCAAAATATTTTTTTTATCTTTAACAGGTAACATTAGCTTATAAACACCTGAATAATTTTAAAAAATCTTTAGAAAAAGGTTCTCTTTAAAAAGATTCTTTAGAGCTATAGAATTTATGTGACAATTTCGAAGAGACAATGTATTTTGTAATCAGTATTGATAACAGTCTAAACATATATCCAAAGTGTTAATATTTTTAAAAAATACAAAAGTTAAAATAGAAATGACTTTTTTAAATAATTTCATGTACAAGACTTTTAAATATGTGAAACTATTCTAAACATAATTAACCTTTTTCAAAAAACCAGTATGGTAGTACTATAGTTTAACACATTAAGACAGGATAAATTTAATAAACATACATCTATACTAAATTATATTTTTATTAAGCAGTGCTCTCTATAAATATATTTTCATGGTGTAGATACCTTTACAATGAGGAATGTTTGTATACGAAGATACCACATCAGCCATGACAAAAATGTAACTGTTGTTTGCTAGTGCTCAGAATTGTAGGATTTTTAGGAAATGTGTGGTATCTTTAAAATATACTGGTAAATGTTCAGCAACTGGCTAAATAAATTTTGTAATAAAAAAGGTAGTTGGTTGGTCCTTCACAACAGGAAACATTTAGTTTGAATATCAGTCTTATGAATTTTGGAAAGACAAAAAATCAGGGGTGTATGAAGGGATATTTTTGGGCATATGTATTCTAATTTTTTTTTAATCAATAATGAAGTGCCACATAGTCAATAAGGTTGTTTATTAATCTCTTATTTTTTTTTTTGTTGGGTCTTCTGAAAATAATTAGTATTTTTTATAAGTAGTTTTCATCTAATAAATGATAAAAGATATTATTTTTTTAGCCCTTTTAGTCTAAAATACAAATACCACCTACTTTGTCTGCTTTTTTATGGTAATTGTGGGATTAAACATAAGGAAGTTAAGTGTGTTAATGAGTTTATGAGGTAAATTTTTTTCTTTCAGTATTTGTGAAAAAACTAATGCAGTTACATCACATTCCAGTTAAGATAACTTATATAAATTTTTGTGTGATTGGGGAGACAAATTTGATTTTTTATGAAATGGATGCCTCTCTATCTCTTTGGTCCCAAAAAATTAATGTTTATATAATTGTTTCTAAAAAATTAATGTTCATATAATTGTTTTGAGCCAATTATATGAACATTAATAAGTGTATTTCCAAAGTAACATAATTTTAAAATCTTTTGTCATCTGTTAGGATGTTTAATAGATGTTAAATTGATGTCTTTGTTATAATGGCTCATGTTGCTCTGTGGTGTTGAGAAAAATAATTCAGCCAGAGTAAGTGGTTGAATGATTCTTGGTTTTTTTGATGGGGTAAATTGTTTTTTTCTAGAGAAAATATTTTCAGTCTGTGATAAAATATTACTTTAGTAAAAGATAATATTGTCTTTAGTAAAAGATAAACAATGTTTGCAAATACAGAGTTATCAATGTCTATTTTTTTACAAAGTGATAGAAATGGATGAACTTAATGGTGAGAAGAAATTTACACATTAAGCAGAAGTTAATAAATCTAAGAAAACATAACATATTGATAAATTGTTAAGTAGAGGTTAATAAAGCTAAGAAAACATAACATATGGATAAAATTGTTAAGTAGGAAAAAACAAAGTCAACAGTTATTGCTCAAAAATTAGTCAAAATATTTAGAGTTAACCAATGATTCTGACCAATCAAATTATTACACCATTGCAACCTAAATAAAACAAATGTGTGTACAAACAGTTTTACACTGTTGCAACCTAAACAAAACAAATGTGTGTATAAACATTTATACACCTTTGCAATCTAAACAAAACGAGCGTTTGTATAAACAATTTCTCTTACAGTCTGAACAATAATCATAGTGAAATATGCAAATCCAGTAATTTCAATATTAAAAAGGGGATTTAAAAAAAAAACTGTAACCCACAAATGAATCTCAAAATGTTTTGCATGTTTTTGATCAAAACATCTTGCATCACTGGTTTCTGCATTCTTATAACTGAAATTTTTTAGATTTACCACCGTTTGAAACAATATTGCTAAATGTTGTTATTACTTGTTCATTTTTATAACAAAAATTCTTTAGATTTACCACTGTTTAAAAACAATATTACTAAATGTTGTCTTGTTGTGTGAGTTGTTTAAAAAATTGTTTGTGACTGTTGCACTTTATGTTATAATAATTTAAAAACCATTTTCATTAGTGTAGCAATGATTAATTATTTATAATATTAAATTTTTATTAAATATTATTTTTAGCTTTCTTCATACATGTGAGCCTCCAGTTGTCCATGGTAACTTAAACTGTGAAACTATACACATTCAACATAATGGTCTCGTAAAGATTGAAACAGGTGAAAAATATTCACACAATGTTAAAGAATTTTAAACAATTCCATGTGATTACAAAAACATTAACTATCATTGCAATTTGAAAACTAATTTTTCAAAAATAGTTTAGGCCTACTAATTTTTAATTTAAAAAGCAATTCAAATTTCCTTTATTTATGCTTTATTTACATTTATATACAATTAATTTTTACACTAATTATTTATTACCTTTGTTTTGTTTTAAAAATTTGTTAGCTGTATTTAAAACAAAAATATTTTTGTAGGAAAACTTAAACAAATACATGTCGAATTAAGTGGTACATTTTTAAACTAAAAATAAAAATTGTCTGGAATAAAAAAATAATAACATTTTTCTAATATTGCATCTGTGTATGAAGTTTTCTATCAAATCGGTATTTGCTGACTTTATCTACTAGTGACTCAAAAGTCTTTTAATCTCTTTTTTTATCAATTGTCCCCTCACAATGGTAATATTTGTGTTTTTCACTGTGACCTGTTATTATAGAAAAAACTTTATTAACATCCGTTTAAGTGTACTTCTGTATAACGGATCTTTCAATATCTTTTTCATTATACCATCGCAATAAAATTTGGAAAATCATAATTTATCTTTAAGTTCATAGTGGTTTTTCTATATGTCATACAGGTGATCAATTTATGTACACATTAACAGGAAGGTTTGCAAGTTTTACATTTGTATTATCACAAACAACTAATTTTTCTTTTAGCGTATGAAACAACTCTGTCAGCAATATTTGGTATCTTTGAAGTAATTTAGTCATGATGACAGGCAAACATATCCAACTATTTGAGTAAAATGAATTAATTGCTTTTAAGAGAATCTTTTCAGGGTTTTTGAATGCGAATTCAGAAAGATAAAGTTTGTGACTATTTTTAGAGCCCTTTACAACAAATAGCCTAATAGCAGTTGTCATCTTCTTGCTTTATTTTTACAAACTTTTTAACTTAATGACCACTATTTAAACAGGAAGTATCTCTAGCTTTATTGAAAAACCTTACCTTTCTATTTAAAGGTTTGTCTTACACAAATATACCAGTTAAGCAACCCCTATATTTTTTTTAGGGTTGCTTAAACTGGTCCTTAATATAAATATATATTAAAAAAATTCTAAGTATATCTTGTTGGGTCTTAAATGAAGCAAAATTGTATAAAAATTTCTAAAAGTAATTATTTTACAAAAAACAAAAAATTTATGTGATAAAATAATTATTTTTTGTTTGTATAGTGATGATTATATCTTTTTTTATGGTTAGTGGCTCCTGATGCAATTCATAACTATGTTAAATCATTCAAACATCCTGGAAAACATGTCCATTTTGTTGCACCAGAATATGGCAAGTGTTTTTAATTTAAAGATAAAATTAAAATATTTGAATTTTCTTTTTAAAATTTGATAAAGTTATTATGATTTCTTTATTTCTTTATGAAAAGTTTGACTTGGTTTGACTTGACCAGAGAAATTAATTGCATTCTCTTTGACAATTTTAAGGGATTAAGTGAACCACAAGATAACAAAGTTTGAGTTAACCAGTGTGTGTGTGTGTATATATATATATATATATATATATATATATATAATATATATATATATATATATATATATATATATATATATATATATATACTGGTTAACTCAAACTTTTGTTTGTGTCTTTTTTTGAATTATATTGTATACTATAAATAACAGAATAAAAACCCTTTGATTCCACGACAATAATAATTATTGGCCGAAATTGGAAGCAAATTGGATAATATTTAGGGGTTGCCAAGTGTTATTACATTTTTGGTGTAAGGTGAAAAGAAAAAATTCAACTTATTATTTTATATTTATTTTTTATTTAGTTAATATCATGTGGACTGTCAATGTTTATTGTTTAAAAATAAAATTGCTAAATAAATATTTAGTTCAGTATTTTTTTTGTGTACTACATACTGCTACTATGCACTAGGCAATCAAAAATCAGTTATCTATTATCTACAGTCATCTTCATCAGAGCAGACTTTAATGCAACTGGAAATTCCTTCTGGTGAAGATCAACCAATCAAAATAGAAACTGCTTTTGATATTCATCTTTCATAATGCTTGAGTTAAAGAATACTATTGTTCAGAACGAGTTCTGCAGAACGATTTCTGCAGCGATTGTGCAGAATGAACATTCTGCACAATCGCTTCATATAACCTTCATTTGATAAACTTTGTGCTTCATTTCGATATATGTTAAATCCATTTCCCTCTCTGAAGATTTTTTATTTTTTAAATGATTGAGCTTTTTCTTTGCCATTCTTAATAATTAGATCAAAAAGTTCCAAAGTGCCTTTTATGATGAAAGAAGACAATGGACTATGGCAATCGAATGTGGCAACAGCAAGTTTTTGAGAGATTTCTGCCTTGGCTGCTATTTTAGGTTGTTTGCCATGCCTTTCTTAGTAATGCTGTCAACATGAGAGTCAAAGAAAGCCAATCCTACTAAATGTTCAGAAAAAACCCAGAATTGGCAATGAAAGGCTTTTAGCGCAGCAGTTGCAATTGTACATTTTGGATATTCTTGAATCCATTGAAGGAGCCTTCACTGGTTCCAAATGCAGTTGTGAAAATTGTGGAAAACATGACTTTAAACACATGGTGCCTGCATGCAAAACATATAAGATTATGGTTAAGATTTGGCTCCATTATTGCGCAGACACCAATGTTCAATTCAGTGTTGGATGAAGTAGTGTCAAAAACTAGTCCTGGAACAGGTTCATTTGATTTCCAATCTACAAGAGCCTTCGTGCAAGCATCAGCCTGTTGCTCACCCGTGCGTCAACCAATATTTGGAACGCCCAGCAATTGTTCCATTCCACCACCAGTCACATGGATGGCAATTCTATCCACTTTATATTGACCACCAGTGATATCAAGTAAGAGCTTTCCAATGCAAAAGAAGTAGATCATTAGGAAGGAAATTGACCTTGTCAGCAAACCAATCGCCTGGTTCTGTGTATTGTGCTGTACAACAATAATAAATCTTTTACTGAGTGATCAAGAGCCTGAGCCACTGTTCCAACCATGATGAGTGTACTACCATCTAAAATATTAACCTGATTAAAAGACTATTGAACATTTTCTGATAGAACTTTTAGCTTCTTTTTTGTTGAACTACTTGTGTTAGAAGTGGAAGGAATCTGATATTCATCATCATCGGAGGAGCCAGAGCTATATGCTATGTATATATATGTATATACATATGTATATATATGTATATACATATGTATATATATGTATATACATATGTACATATATGTATATACATATGTATATATATGTATGTATATATATATATATATATATATATATATATATATATATATATATATATATATATATATATATATATATATATATATATATATATATATATATACATATATATATATATATATATAAATATATATATATATATATATATATATATATATATATATATATATATATATATATATATATATATATATATATATATGTATATATATATATATATTGGCTGATGCCGATGGATGGGAAAAGGCTGATACCAATGCCGATATCGATGAATTAACTAATTATTAAACAGAGTTGGACCTGGTCTATCTGCTAAACTTGAGCCTCTTTCCTATCGTTGTAAAGTTGTATCTTTTTCTCTTTTCTACAAATACTATCATGGTTGCTGCTCAAAAGAGCTTTCAACTGTAGTTCCATCAACCAAAACTCATTCTCACTTGACTAATCATTCATCAAAGTCTTATTCTTTTACTGTATCATTCTTTTACTCTTCATGCTTCAAAAACTTTTATTTGTCTAGCTTATTTCCCAGCACTTCAACCCTTCGGAACTTTGTCCCATCTTCATGTTTTCCTGACTAATACAACTTTCAAATTTTTAACTCTTCTGTCAACCATTTCCTTGATCTATAAAACAAAGTCACAATAAAAGTTTATCCAAAAAATTCTAATTAATGCATAAAGTAATGCATTACTTAGAAAAAAGTAATGCATAATATATATATATATATATATATATATATATATATATATATATATATATATCTGTTGTTTTGAACATGCATACAATATAATTTCAATTTAACTTGAATCAACTAAAAAATGGTTTTTTATTAGATTCTATTTTGCTGAAAGTTCTAAATTGTTTAATGTTTTTGTCTGGTCAGACAGTTAATAATGTAAGTTTAACTTTTTTTCAATTCTTTTTCAGATGGTGAATCTCTTTTTTCAGCTTTGTCATCAGATGAATTTGGAAAAGGTGATTAATTTTAGTTTATAGTTGTTTTTTCATATCTTAAAAATTATGTCATTCTCCTATATTGAGGACTTTTTTCTTTGTTGTTGATCATTAATTGCCTTCTTTATTTAACTCTCCAAAAAGATGTGAGTATATGCATGACATTTCTTTATAACCCTTTGAAAAACAATTAGTACATATTAAATCATGAACATAATTGCTGCAATTTATCAATTAAATATTAGATGAGTTAAATGATATTTTTTAGGGTTTAAAAAATAGAATTTTTTGTTAAGTTTGTTAAAGTAACATCAAGCTAATTACTAATTGGTTTTATTTTACATGCTTTAGATCATATATATTGTAAATTTAGGTAAAATAATCACGTATATCTACTTATCACTAAATATTACATTTATCATTTATTAAAAGGGAAATTTTTTTCTAATTTGTCTGTAAATTTTTCTTTATTAAAATCGACACAAAGTTTGCGCAATTTAATGTATGTTTTATGTCCTCGGTTCCACACTTGTGTGGTTTAAACAGGTTTATATAATCATACCTTATTACTAAAATATGACATTACAGTAAAATAAAAGCAATATTTTATAATTGAATGCAGAACGGGACTGAGTATTTTTATTGTGATACTAGGAAGATTATCATCTAATGTTTATAAGTTTATCTTTATCCACATTGGGTTTTTACAGCAGAGTTTTTCTCTTAAATATGTTGCTTTCACCGTAGCATAAGTCTATATTCTGCCATATATATATATATATATATATATATATATATATATATATATATATATATATATATATATATATATATATATATATATATATATATATATAATATATGTATACATATATTATATTGCACATAAAATTTGGTTATTTAATTATTGAATTAAAAATAGTTTATCATCAATAGATAGGAATTTTCACAAAAAAAATACTATGAAATCAATAAAGTAACTTTCAAACAATTGTTTAAAAAAGTTTTTTGTTATATATAAAAAAGCTGTCATAAGATAAAACTGCTTTGCAAGCTTAATGTGGTCAGTTTTTAGCATTCGCAGCAAAAAACTTCTGACATTAGTATATTTACTTTTTTTAATGTTTTTATAAGCATTAAAAATTGTTCAGAATTTTTTTGCTATATTTATATTTATATTTCATAAAATCAGTATTACAACTTTTCTACCATTCAACTATGCTACAAGATAATGTAATTTTTATTAACGTTTTTCATCATTTCAAAGCATGGTTGAAAAGTTGTCAAGGTTTAATATTTTCTTTAATAAATTTTATATATTTTAAATTGTCTGGTTAAATATTTAAACATAAACTTTAAAATAATGAAAAAATTCTTGAAAGTATGAAATAATATTTTTTTAAATAAATATTTTACTGCCTAAAATTAAGATTATAAACAATTTTAAAAAATGTGTTTTTTTAATACATCTATGCTTCAAAGCATTAATATTTAAAACAAAAAGAAATTTATGTACACGGTGATACTTTTATGTTAACGGTGACTTTCAACGGTGACTTTCAATGGTGTCTTTCAACGATGACTTTCATCGGTGACTTTCAACGGTGACTTTCAATGGTGACTTTCAATGGTGACTTTCAACAGTGACTTTCAATGGTGACTTTCATTATGACAGCTATACTTTTATGCATATTAAAATTTATTATTTAATTTTATAAAATTTTATTATTTATATCTTTAGAGTTTAATTTAACAGTTTACATTAAATTGTATTTAGTTTTGATTGGTTTAATATATTGTGGATGTGTTTAGTTTATGGTATATTTTTTTTATTTTATAATGTTATAAACTATAATATTTATAAAAATTTAAATTTTTTTATTATTTAATATATTTAACAACTAGCAGCAACCAAAATCTAGTTTTATTTTTTATGATGTATAATTACTTGATTGGATAATTAAATAAAAATGTATAAATAATTTTTTTCTTTTTTGTTTGTTTTCACTTATTTTTATTACATACTTTTTTAAAAATCATATCAATAAAAGCTATTTAATATTGCATTACCTTGGCCAGGTGGTTTGCATATTCAGAGCCAGCTTGTAAACTTTAGATGGCAATTTTACTAGTGTACAGTGGGACAAAATAATGTTTTTCGTGCCAAAATTATTTTAGTGGTTTTTGTTACTGCAATTGTTATAATTTAATTATACAAATCATAAAAAACCAAACTCATATTTATTGGTGAAACCTTACAAAATTTTATAAAAAGTTTTTTCTCTAAATTTATTTAAAAGTCTAAAAAAAAATTAAAAATTTAATAATACGATTCATTTTAGATTATAGAGCTCTTATAAACAAAAAAGTTCAACAGCATATGAAGGAAAACGTTTTTTTTATTGAAAAAACAGTTTGTTCATTTTTGATTTGATAAAATAGTTATTTTTTCTAGGCTCAAGTAACTCAGGTGATCATAAAATAGATTTTTTTTTCTAGCTTGATTTTTCTAGATTTTTTTCATTTTCTAGATTTTTTTTCAGATTTTCTAGATTTTTTCTAGATTTTTGATTTGATAAAATAGTTATTTTTTTTAGGTTCAAGTAACTCAGGTGAACACAAAATAGATTTTTTTTTTCTAGGTTTGAAGTAACTGAGGTGAACACAAAATAGATTTTTTTTTCTAGGTTTGAAGTAACTGAGGTGAACACAAAATTTTTTAATAACTTTATTTATCTTTATTCTTGAATTTTTATGGGAATTATTTTCCCTATATTTTTTAAATTTTTATTTCTAGCTTCTTGAGCTTCTTCACAAATGGAGACCTATTGGCAAAAAGTAGACTTTTCTATTACTTCTGGTGCATGAACTAAAATCATGTGAAGGCTATAAGGCATTTAATACCAATCGTACAATCTTGAAAGAAACTTTGCAGTTTCCAGACTAAGTAATCAAAATTTGCTGATATTGATTTAAAATCCACTTGATATACAAGTTAGATTTATGTGCAACTTTATAATTAGTTCTTTGTTTGTTCATGTTATTTTTGCAAATTAATCTTTATTTGATAAGCTTTTTCAGTAGCTCATTCGAATCACTTTTTAATCAACATTAAGTCCCATTTGTTCCTAGAATTCCTTTTGTATAATCATTTTTTGTTCTTTAAGAATTTTTTCTGTGTTGCCTCATGCTTTCCATTTTTTGATTGGTATCTTGTATGAAGTATAAGTGCAACACTCAAAAACTCTTATTCATGCATGAGGTGTAAATAATCTATACTCCAGCCCATCTGGTGAATAAGGAAGTTTTATAACTTTGTTAATATTGTTTTTATCATTTGGTAAACATCCACATATACAACAACATTGGCTGGAACTTGTTAAATTCAATTAGGCAGTACTTTGATCTTCTTTATAGACTATAGAACTTTATAGTTTTTAGATTTCTATTATAGTATCATTTATAGTTGTCTAACTTTATAAATAAACTTTCCATTAGATCAACACAAGTTTCTGCAAGGTTAGAGATCTCATCTTTTCAAAAAATTTCTTTGATGAATAATGTTGCTTCTTTTCTAAATTTAAATATTAAAGTTAAGCAATACAACAAAGACAAAGTTTTTAGGTTTCTATAAATAATGGTTTCTTCAACTTAAATGGCAATCTGAAGTGGAGTGATGCATATTAGAGACAATTTTTTTTTTCAAAGCATGAAAACCAATAACATAGATTTTTGTTTATATATGCTTTGAAAATTTGTAGGAGGTATGGTTATTTTATAAGCTTTAAAATTAATTTTAATTATCTACCCATTTAACATTGTCCTTAATAATTTTAGATTCTGTGTGTTATGGATATTCCAGCATAACTTAAGATGGGCACATTTGTTTATCTTCTAACATTGTTATTGTATTGATAAAAGTACAACTTAAGCATTAGTAAATGACCGTATGATTTTGCAGTATCTTGAATAATGGTGTTGTTACTTAAAAAGTTATAAATATCAAAATATATCAAAAATAACAAGTTCATAACAAAATTTGGACTATTTTTGCTTTTTCCAGTCATGAAATTTTGTAAAATATTAGTACATAACAAAATGTAACAACATAAGATTATATTAAAATAAGTTAGAAAAAATGTTTATATTTTTTTTTAGAGGTAAGGCAGCAATAATCACTAAAATACAAACAAAATTTTATTTTGTTAAAAATTTTGGTAAAAAAATTAATAATTATTTGTATTTATACAACTTTTATAATAGAATAGTAGTTATAAAGTTGTTATGTAATGTTTGAGTTTAAGTATGTGCTATTTGAGTTTAAAAAGTATTTTTAAAAGTATGTGCTATTTGAGTTTAAAAAGTCCACTTAATCCTTGATTTTGCAAATAGCAAAAAAAAGGAAGAAAAAATTATATTGCATTTTAATTTACATACTTTGATTAGTAGATTTACATATGCTTAAATTTTTCTTATGGCCTAAAAGCAAGTAGTGTTTATAATGATTTTTTGTCATTTTGGTCTCTATACCAATGAAATGGTACTACAATTAAAACACTCAGTTCTGGTCTGCAAAAGCCTAGAAGGTTGTAATAAAAATGACTTTAACTTTCCTATAATCCAATATATTTTCTAAATAAAGTTATTATGGAAAAAAAATCAAAGTTCACATTTATGGCAATTATACATCATTTTAATTTTAGGTACTTCTCATCATCCTATTAATTGTGCTGCAGATGTGTACTCTTTTGGTATTGTTGCACTTGAGGTTTTATTTTAAATAGTTCAAAGTTTATTATTAGTAAATTATTCTTTAATTATGTTATCAATTTAGTTTTGAACAGTTTTTATAGGTCTATTTTGATGAATACTTTTTTGTCTTTGTTTGTCTAGGTCTTCTGGTGTTTTACGTTAAATCTCTTCTTTTTTTTTTTTCGTTACTTAACATATATTTTCGTTACTTAACATATATTAAAAAGCTAGTTAATAGAGTTGAAAGTTTATTTGTAATTTTTTTTATTCTGAAGATGGCAACGCTACATTGGGTAGAAAAAACATGTACGGTTACACCAGAAATGATTAAATTAGCCCTTGACAGTTTGGAAGATTCAACCCAAAGGGTTAGGAGTATATTATTCATATTGTTATATGTTTTTATATTTTCATTTTTTATATATGTTTTTATATCCTTGAATTTTTTTTTATACTTTTATATATGTTTTTATACCCTTGTATATTTTTTTATACTTTTATATTTTTATTAATTTTATATAAATATATATTTTTTTAATATATTTTTTTTATACTTGTTAATTTTCTGAATATTATGTTTTTCATTATTTCATTATAATATGTTTGTTTTTTTTTTATTTATTTATATCTTTGTTATAGATTTTTTATATATTTTTTTTATTACTAATAGATTTTTTATAATGATTGATTAATATTTACTAGCAGTCCTGACCTGTAAAATACAGGTCTTAATAAGTCTATTCAACACCAACCTTTTGTATACTTATTAACTTGGCATGCAATTGAACGCTATTGCTGACCACGCAAATGATTTTTTTGTTTACAACTTGACCACGACTGTTTAGATGTTTTGGTGATTTAAATGTTTCAGAAATGCGCTAAAATAGAAACTTTAAAGCTAAACTTAAACAAGGAAAAAATTGATAAAACTAAAAAATAAGCAAAACAATTCCTTAGTAAATAAATTAAATAATTCCTTACTACAAAAAAAAAACAAATTAGCTTTAAAATAAAACCATAAAAACTAAAAGTTAAAATTACTTATTGTTACGTTTTTAATTGCATTTTTTAAAAATTGCTTTAAAAAGTTACGCAAAACGCTTTTACTAATTATGTTAATTGATTTATGATTATTAATATATAATTGAACAAATTTCATTTAAGTTATTGAAAAGTGAAATTAAATTATTAAAAAGAAAAAATATATAATATTTTTAAGTTGTCTAAACATTTTTTTCAAAAAGTTGCACAGAGTGACACCAATTAAGTATAACAATAATAATTGAAAAATAATAATATTATCTATAATAATGCAAATAATATGATGACATGGGTGTCACTCATGGTCAAAAGGAGTGACACCAATTAAGTATAACAATAATAATTAAAAAATAATAATATTATCTATAAAAATACAAATAATATGATGACATGAGTGTCACTCATGATCAAAAGAAGTGACACCAATTAAGTATAACAATAATAATAAAAAATAATAATATTATCTATAATAATACAAATAATATGATGACATGAGTGTCACTCATGATCAAAAGACACCAATTAAGTATAACAATAAGTATAATAATAAATAAGTCGTCAAATTGTAGAAAAAAAAAAAAAAAAAAGCTTCGTCAGTAACTGACAAACAGTAACTGTTACAGCGTGAAATTTAAGTCTATTTAAAAAAACATACAATGTTAAATTAAAACTACTTTACTAAACACAAACATCTGCAATGAAATACTCTAAATATTAAGGAAAGAAACTTCACTACAACTTCACTAGACTAATGTTAAATAAACTGAAAAATATGAAATAGATGTCAATAGCATAACTCAATTTCCGGAAAACCAGAAAAATTATATTTTAAAAATTTGATCGGACACTGTCCGACCCAAACAAGATTTAATCAGACATTTTGTCCGGGACTTTTTAAAAAATTAAATTGAGCCCTTTTTCCAAAAACACCGGGACATTTCTCCCGGTGTTTTTGGAAGCCTAAGGCTAATAAAATATAAATATTTCTCATAAGGATTATTTTATTTAAAAAGCAAAAAAGAAAACAGAAAAAAGAAACAGGCCATGAAACCTAGTTATGTCAAATATGTTACTCTCTCTCTGTTTGGTATATCTAATAGGAACTTTTTTGTAACAAGCTCTTTCAATTAAGCTGTTTTTAATACTTCGGCTTTGGTAAAATTTTAAATTATTGTAGCTGTTGTGTGACAAAAATTGTCACTAAAATAGTATGTAATGGAAACCATCAGGATCATAATTACCAAGGTGATTAAAGTTTAAATGGTTTCGAGACATATATAAAAATACAACAGATATATATATATATATATATATATATATATATATATATATATATATATATATATATATATATATATATATATATATATATATATATATATATATATATACACACACATACATGTATGTATGTATGTATATATATTAGTGATGTACCAATTGATCAGCATTGGCTTAATCAGACACTTTTTGCGCAATTGGAATCGGTATTGACATTAGCCGAATTTACCAATTTTCATTACCGATGGCATTTTAATATTTTTATCCTGCATTATAATAATAAATAAATAATAAATAAACTAAACTTTATGTATTACTTGGAATTTTTTTGAGAAATTGTTTATTTTGACTTTGTTTACAGGCAAATTTTTTATTCTTAAAATGATATTTATAAGCTGAATGTATTTATACTTTTATTACTATAATGTTGTTTTTAGAATAATTTTATTTTATATTGTTTTATTGTTATACTTAAAAGTAACCTATTTAAGCATTTTTATCTATATGTATTCAAATATTACCTTCTATATTTCAATATGATTGTTATTTAGATATCTAAATTAATTAATTAATAAGTTAATAAAGTTGCAGAATTAGATATATATTCAGAATGGTGGCAGCTTTGTTTGGAAAAAATGTTCCAATAAAATCACGCAGTTGGGTGTGGAAATATTTTACTATTTCTACTGAAGATGCTTCAATTGCAATATGTAGCACATGCAAACTGAAGATTACAAGAGGTAATAAAGAAAAAAAGTCTAAGTCTTTTAACACAACAAATATGTTGTCTCATATTAATTAAAAACATAAAGAAACAGCAAGCAAAGAGTTGAAACTTAATGAAGTAGAAAACAAAAGGAAAGCAGAAAGTGAACAAAATATGTTCAAGAAAAACTCAATGCGATACATTGAGTTTGTCAACTCAATGTATCATATACTGCCAAAAATATAAGTGAAGCAATTCAAAGTTCTATGAATGACTTTCTTATTCCAACTGCAAAGATACATTTAGTTGCTAGAGATAATATAGCTACTGGTATAAGAGAGGCAGGTTACAACAGTTTGCCATGTTTTTTTTCACACTCTGCAACTTGTGTTGAATGACGCTGTATTTGCCCAGATAGATATATCAAAAATATCAAACTCACTATCAAGTGCCAGAAAATAGGTTCAAGCAAGACATTACAACAAGATGGAATAGTCAATATTTTATGTTTGAAAGAATTTTTAAACAGAAGCGTGCTTTGATCCCATTTAGTTGTGATAATGACATCTCTAAACTGAAGTCACAGGAAAACAATGAATGGATTATTTTAGAAAAACTATTACGACTTTTAAAAATGTTTAATATAACAAATTTGTTAAGTGAGCATGAAGCAATTGTATCTGCTATAATTCCAATTGTACAAGTTATAAAAACCATGTTGGTTCAAGCTGAAAAGTCTTCCTTGTTTTTAGGATTAGGGACAACTTTAAAAGAATGTAAATTATCAGCAAATGAAAGATTTGAAAAATATCTCAATGACAAATATCTCAAGGTATAAAAATAATTTTTTTCCAAATGAAGAAGCCGATAGTTATTTTGAAAACATTATTAAATGGCTTGTAGATTGCTCAAAAAGTCTTCAACAAAAAGATCATGTGGAATTTCAACCTGATGTCAGTTTGTTATCAAGTACAATAAATCTAGATTTTGATTTTTCAAAATGCTTTAAAAGTTTTATTAAAAATAAAAACACTTTAATCAAAAACACATCAATATCTGAAGTTCTGCAAGAAATCAATATCTGAAGTTCTCCGGAAACAGGAGAAGTGCTTATGTTTTTACATTACAATATTCAGATCATAAACTCCATTTGAAAAAGCAACACTAAAAAGAAATAGTTACAATAAGATAAAAATATATTTTTTTATTTAAAAGATGAATCCTTGGCTTTAGTGAATAATTATATGTAGCCAGTTTCAGTAATGAAATGACCCAATGATCATTTTTAATGATAGACATAACTTCATCAAGTTAAGCCAAGTTGTTTATCAACATAAAACATTACAACAATAACATAACAAAATTAACATATTGCAGTAAACTCTCAATAACTCAAACCTCCAAAGGACTAAGATATTAGCTCTTTAGAGTATGTTAGAGTTTCATAAATAAAGGCTTAACTGGAATTTCAAAAATAGTTTAAAAAAAAGTTATCAAGGGTTATCCAGAGTTTATTGAACAAATTTTAACTACTAACAGCACACACATAGAAACACCTACTAACAGCACACACATAGAAACACCTACATAAACATTTACAAAATAAATAGAATAAATCCATATAACCTAATAATAAATCACATGTCACATAACACACATTACCACAAATACTTATAACTATTACAAGTATGACATTTAAAATACAACATTATTTGTTATATTCGTTCTATGACATACCTTGAAATGCATGTTTCTCAAATTTAAAAAACAAATTATCAAATGACTTGGTTCTGGAATGTGAATCTACATAGAATTTGTTGTGTGAAAACAAAATCAAATTTTGTTACATTTTGTATTCTAACTTTTATAAAAAAAAAAAAACAATTATTTTCACATGATGTTGGTCAAAGAAACAGTTGTTTAAAAAAGTCTTCAGAAACTGCAAGCTTATAAACAAGAGTTATATGAGAAAATTATTTTTTTTCAAAAAAACCTAATTTAGAATTTACAAAAACATTTAAAACAGTCTATTTCTATAAACCTATGGCATGGATGCACCCCCTGTGGGTCCCTTATTCAATTTTCAAAATGTCAAAATAAAAAGTAGCGTATAAAATTCTATAGTTTTATTTTTATAATAACCTATAAAAACTACAAATTACTTATTTATTTTAGCAGATTTCGCTCCTGTCGCTGCTGTTACTTAATGATGTTGTTGCACAACTGCACTGGCTATATGCAATATTTATTAAAATGTGTAATAAAAAAATATTTATTAAAATGTTTAATAAAAAAATATTTATTAAAATGTGTAATAAAAAAATATTTATTAAAATGTGTAATAAAAAAATATTTATTAAAATGTGTAATAAAAAAATATTTATTAAAATGTGTAATAAAAAAATATTTATTAAAATGTGTAATAAACAAAATATTTATTAAAATGTGTAATAAATATTTATTAAAATGTGTAATAAATGTTTATTAAAATGTGTAATAAACATTTATTAAAATGTGCAATAAAAAAATTAACTATGTATTAAAATCTAATTAAAAATTACACATTTTATGATTACATTAACTACAAACAGATTTTATGTGTTTCATAATGACAGTACACCACTTGGCTGGCAAAGACAACTTTCTTGATCTCAACAAAGCCAGTTCACATTTTAGCAAAGTACACCACTTGGCAAGCAAGAACAACATTTTTGCTGCAAACTAAGCTAAGTCACAACACTTTAAAACCACAGAAACAACATAAAAATTATAAACACATAACTTTATAACACATAGCACATATAGAAACACTTTATATAAAACAGATATTGACACATAAGCACTTACAAAGTAACCCATATAGCCTTAACACATATAAACACATATAATAAATAATACACATTACCCAATCACAACACATAAAAATACTTAAATATATAAATTAAGAAAAGTATATAAATTAAGAACATTTACAAATACAACCCATACCATCATCCTCGAATTCTTAAAAATAAAAAAAAATTAATTATTAATATAAATGTTAATTTAATATACTTTAAATACCATTGATAAAGAACTTGAATTCTGTTATTATTAAAATAAATTAAATTTTCTGATTTTATAAGTTACTTTAAAGTTTTTAAAATAACATAAGTTTTTTCAATTACTAAAAACATTATGATTGCATCAAATTATTATTTATAATATAAAGTTTTTCAATCTTCTAACTGGTAAAGCAGATATTAACAGACTATAAAATAAGGCTTGACTTGATACCACTTTACTGGCAAAGATAACATTCTTGCTTTAACAAGCTTTAAACCAAGTCACATTATTGCAAAGTACACCACTTGGCTAGCAAGTACAAAACTCTTGCTGTAAACTAAGCTAAGTCATATCACTTTGAAACCATGCAAACAACATAATAACCACTTACAAACTATAAACACATAACATTATAACACATCGCAAACATAGAAACACTTCATATATAAAAGATATTTTCACACTTACAAAGTATAAACCCATATAACCTTAGCACATATAAACACATGATAAATAACACATAAACAATTAAATATATAAATTAATAAACATATATAAATTAGTAACATTTACAAATGGAACCTTATTTTTGTAATGTTTGTTTAATGACATACCTAGCAATCAATGTTTATCAACTTTAAAAAACAAACGATTAAATGACCTGGTTTTTTATATTATAAAAGCAAACAGATTTTCATTAATTTCTTTAAAATAAGGTATAAAACAATCTTGTTCTTGGACATGTGACATAGAGTTAACCATGAGAGATGCTAGGGTTTCGGAGATTAACACCAACTTTATCAAGAGTTTGACCTTTGAAAAAAGCATTGTCTTCTTAAAAATAAAAATTACAGATTAATATCCTTTAAATGCAATTAACAAAGGACTTGAATTGTTTTATTATTAAAATAAATTGCAATTGACAAAGGACTTAAATTGTCTTATTATTATAATGCATGAAATAAATTAGCTGACTTTAAAAGTTACTATACTAATTTAAAAATAACATAAGGTATCTTGTTATCTTTATTTACATTATAATCTATTAAATCTATTAAGGTCTACGTTATAATCTAATAAATCTATTAAGGTCTATTACTACAGAAGTCATCAGTTTATCTAATATAAAAGTTTTCGATCTTATTACTTATTGAGCAGATATTACCTATTACCAGATTATAAAGATTTAAGAATACCTTATTGCGTGGTCATACATATAAAGAGAAATATTAAAAGCATACATATAAAGAGAATTATTAAAAGGCCAAGCATGCTATATTTTCTTTTAAAAACTCCCTGTTAAACGTGCACGAATGAGTAATGGCAGCAACAGCGTTAAATCAGAAATTGATTATAAGCAATTTTTCTCATTTCAATTAATTTAGTTGCGATTTTATTTTTTAAGCTGAACAGAAAAAAAAATTTAATTTTTTTTTTTTTAATTTTCTTTTTATAATGAATGTACATTCATAAAAGGTGTACTACTATACTACTATAGTTATAAAAGGGTGTACCATAATAGAGTTGAAATTAAATAACCACTAAAAATTTGACTTTTTGGAACATATTGGATTCCATTAACTTTATTAAATTGAATCATTGGAGTAGTACATATACTTAAATTAGGTCATAACAGTAATTAAAATATTAATTTTATTGAAGCAAAACCATAAATAAACAGAGCTTTTTGCAATTTATACAAACAATTATAAACATTTGTAAAAATGCACGGTTGAAGGATTTAGTCTTGAAGTTGTGTAGGCCTAAAGTTGTGTAACTTCATTACAATTTGATTTTCAGTTAGATTTCTCTCTAAAAACTTATTATAAAAAAAACTTATTTAAAAAATGATTTTCTAAAAAAAAAATACAGTAGCCTATGCATACATTAAAGACACACTGAAATGCATTTAGTAAAGTGTAAATATACTAATAAAATTTACAGATATAACTTTTCTTAAAAGTGATTTATTGTGTTGATTTGATCTTCCATTTATATATCAACATAATCACCATTGTTAAATTTTTTGCTTTTTTTTAAAACAACACCTTACAGAAAATACAATACACTCAATTGTATTCAATAAGGTGCTGAATTTCTTTTGCTGTAGGACTACAACTTTGTTCTGATAGAAATATATCACATTCTGTTTTTTTTTTTTTTTTTTTTTTTTTTTGTGTGTTTTCATAATACTGCAAAGAAACATAAATTTAAAATAATAATTTCATTTGTTAATTATTTAGGAGTAGCATTTAGGATTTAGGAGGAACTAGAAAAGAGTGAATTGTTAGGTTATACACCCATAGGCCGATCTCACTGTTTTTAATTGGATCATTTGCAATTAACTATACTAATAAAACAACTCGAATAATAAAAGATACATCTGGAATTGAACAGACTATAAAACTATTCCAACACAAATACTAGCATGTGATTTGAACAACATATTCAAAGAATTTTTGGTGAATGATAACTACTTGGTCTGCAATGACAATGAGACAGTTGATTTATACATCCCATCATCTACAAAACTGTTTATTTAAAAAAAAAACTGTTGAACACACCAGAGGTTATGGAGGCAGTTAAAAAAAAAAAAAAAAAAAGACTACTCTGGAGCAAGTTTTTTTAAGCAGGCAGCAAATTTCATGAGGCAATTTAAAAAATTGAGTCACATGTAAAAATGTGGCCAAGATGAAAACCAGTTACCAAAGAATATGAAAAAGAAATTTCCAATCGATTTAAATTAGACCATAGATTCTTACATAAACATGTAAGACATAAGCAAATGACAATAAGATCAATAAGATCTTTAGAAGATAATAAAAGTAAAATTACAATAAATGGAGAAAGAAATTGCCCACATAATAAATGAATACTTTTAAGCTGTATTCATCACCGATACAAATAAGCAAATGCTGAAAATCAGACTGATATCTTTTACATCTGTCCCTTGTAAAGTGATGGAGAGTTTTGTTACTGACTCAGCAAAGGTATTTGGCAAAGTATCACACAAACAGCTCCTCCATAAGCTTAAAGCATACAGCATATGTAGAACTTTACTCAAGTGGATAGCTAACTGGCTAGCAAACCAACAACAGAGGGTAACCATCGGTAATCATAAATCAGATTGAAAGAAAGTCACAAGTGGTGTTCCACAGGGTTCAGTGCTTGGACCTTTACTATTTATACTTTATATAAACAATATACCAGACGATATAGCATATCCAATTAAGATATATGCTGAAGACAATAAGATTTTAGGTTTAATAAGTCTTACTGTGACATAGATGAAGTAGTACATTGGTCCAAATGGCTCATGGAATTGAATGTGGAAAAATGCAAAGAGATGCATGTTGGACATCTAATCAATAAATTAACGCAATGACTACACAATGCTTGATCAATTCGAAAACAGACAAATTCTTGAAAGCAAAATTCAATGAACATGATCTGATACTACTTGTTTTTCATAATTTAAAAGTAAAATTTCAAGTAGAAGGGGTGGCTGCAAGAGCCAATTGCTGTTTTACTACCTCAAAAAAAAATTTTAGAGGTAAAGCTTTGTACACCATATATGATAGACAGATTGAGTTTGTTATTCAAGCCTAATCTCCACATCTACAACAAGGTATATGTATGCTAAAAAGTATTCAGCAAAGAGCAACAAAAAAAATTACAGAAATCAAGCATAAGTCACATAAGGAGATCTGAATCCTTGGACTCACAACTCTTAAAGAAAGAAGAAATTGAGGTGATTTAATTCAGCAATTTAAAATTGTTCACGGTATCAATATGGCATGTCTTTAAGGTGTCAGCAAAATAGTTTCTGGTGTCGCACTGCTTCATTAGAATTTTATAAATTATATTTTGTATTAAATATTTAATATTAATTTCTGAATAAACAAATCTTAATTCAAGTTCATTAAACTCATTCTGTTTTACTCATCAAAAGTTATATCTTAAGAAAAAACGTTTTTTTCAAAAAAAACAAATACAATGTCCTGACTTTTTTTATATTAAGAAGTGAGTACGCGTTCTAATCTATTTTATTATGGCATAAAAAATGTCACATGAAAGGAAACTACAATTATATTAGTCTAATAAAATATTTTTGTGGTTTAATAAAGTTTAATGAAAGTGAATCAATTTTAATCTTATTTACATGTGTGTTTGTATACATTTTTTTAATTATATAGATATATCATTAATTTTCGAATTCAGGAGTTTATTGAAAAATGTCTTCAAAAAAGTCCCGAAAACAGACCAACTGTTCACCAACTTCTTATGCATCCAATCTTGCTTGAGGTATTTTCAAAATATTAATTGAGGTATTTTCATAAAAAGTATTAGTTAAGAATAAAATATAAATGTAATTGTAAATATAAAAAAACTTTTTTATTAAATTTTTATAATAAATGAAATTGTAAGTATAAACTTTTAAATGCAATTTGCAACTTATATTATTTGTTTGTTTTGTTGATCAGGTATATTCATTGAAGCTTTTAGCTGCACATGCACTTTCTGAAATAGATTATGGTATATTTCATTTTATAAAATTTAAGTTTTTAAGTAGCTACACACACACACATAATTAATAATTATTATACACATACACTACCATTCATAATTATTCGAATGGTATTAACTTTTTTTTTAAATGTTTTTTTTTTATGTTTATTTTAGCACTATTAGATAATTTAAAAGTATTTTGGTTAAAAGGCTTTGATAAAAATTGTAAGAATAATAAAAATGCCCAAGTGGGCAAAACTACATAAAAAATGGACCATCAATGACTATAAACGTGGACTGACGTGTTGAAGTTTTAAATCTTTGGTTTCAAAATAAGATCGTTTGTCTAGAAAAAAATTTGTTGAATTTATGATAAAATAATGTGTATTATTGATTGTAAAACTGTAGATGGTCCAATAGCGTCAATATTGAGAATATTATATCTAACAAGACTTCAGAAATTAGTGATAATTTACAATTAGGGTGGGCATAAAACATCTAAGTCAATAAAAAAAATACCATAATAGTCTGGTTCCTTTTGATATCTGTATTAAAAATGAACTGATTTTCAGCCATTTTGTCTCATGTAATGTCATTTTAAGTAAATCAAAGAAAAACCAGCTTTCAGGATCAATAAAATCTTCAATTCTTTTTGTTATTTTTTTTTCATTGTCAGTAAAAATTTCTGAACTTAGTTTTCCCATTTTATAACTGGTAGGCTTTGCTGTTTGAGCTAATTTAAGAGCTAATTTATGTAGCTGATCTACAGGTAAGCATTTATCAGCAAGACACATAACCACAAATCTTTCATTTAAATACCAATTGTGTTTTTCAAGTGACTTTAGTACGGCCTCTGCTGGTTTAAGACATAATTCAGAATATTGTATCATTTCATTAATGGCTTTTAGATCTAAAGAAGGTATGGCAGGGATAGGAGCTTTAATAAACCATGGAACATAAAATAGTGCTGTAAATGAACCAATTTCATGAATCAGCTTTCCCTCTTGTAATGATATTATATATGGACATAAGTTACTGAATTGTGGCTGTAGAATTTCGTATGTTAAATAATAAACGCCCTGTACCATAAACCTGGCATGATGTGAAGCCATTGGAAATCTAAAGTGAAAATTTTTTACTTTGCCACCTAACCAAAGAACTGCTAACTGTATAAAATACTTGTAGTCATTGCTTGGAAATATATCATTATCGAGGCAATTTTGAAGGAATGTTAATGATTCAGAAACCTAAAATAAAAAATAAAGTTTATTATAAAAACTTATAGTCAAACAGATTAATCTAATTAGGACAATCATACCAACCTGCTTTTCCAAAAAAGATTTAATTTTTTTTTCAGTCAAATCTCTTTAGGTTATCATAATTTATCTTCTTTTCAAGAATCGATTTCCAATTACACTTTAGCCTTTCAAATAACTCAGTCTTTGGTCCACTTGTTTTACCTCCAGTAAGAACACTTGAAAAGTGCTAAAATATATTTATTTCAAATCACTTAACTAAATTTTAATAAGGTGAATCGTTATTAAATTCATTGAGAAATATTAAATAAATAAATAAATATAAAAATATTTTATGACTTCTTTTCAATATTTACCTTTATATGTAATTCGTAGACATGATGACGACAAGCCATCCAAATCAAAGCTTTTCCTCTCCACTGCTCAATAAGAGTACAGACCCCTTTTAGCCAACCAGTATTTGTGTCTGTGGTGTACAAGGGTAGACAATCAACATTGTCAAATAGCTCCCAGTCTTGTAAAGTTTTTTTGATTGCTTTCCCAAGAGACTCAGCAGTGCCATCTTTCACAATTAAAATACCCAAAAAGTTGGGATTCTGAAAGATCTGGTGAACTGATTAGCACAGCTAATCTTTCAACTTTTTCTTTACCAATTTCTCTCAATTCTACCATAATTTTCAAAATGCGCGGTAAGACTTTCACCCTTAGCCAATATAATAAAGTTGCCTTTAATTTTACAGGCAGTTATACTTATACTTGATTTTTTCTGCCTCAAAATACTTCGTTTAGAAATAGAAAAATCATCTGTTGTTCCAGAACTGTTATTTATAAGAGAAGCAAGAGTTGCACTCAGTGCAGTCGAACTTATTCCATATTGTGATGCTGTTGGAGCTAAATCTTTTCCTATATTTTTAGGAACTATTAGAGGAACAGCATTAGAATTTTTAATTTTTATAGATACTGTTCATCTTGGTCATTATCTAAAGTATTTAAATTTTTCATTGTGTCATCAAATTTCTCAGTAACCAACTCTTTCTGTTTTCTTATGGACTCTTTTATACTTAGATTTTTTTTTTTTCATTTCTCTTTTTCTTTTATTTTTTACAATATATTGTGAAATTTTATCTTTACCCAACATCCTCTCTTCTAGTTTTTAAATCTTTAGTTTTATCTTTCATAATAGTATGTTCACAATTGTTTTGGCTTACATCGAATACTTCCTCTAGCATTCTTGAAAAAGTTTATCTTTTTAAAACTAAATTTTTACTTAAACGGTTCCTGTGTTTGTTTAAATCTTTTCTCTTCTTTTCTAAGTCAACAATCTTGTCTCTAAAACAAAAGTAAAAGAATGCGTTAAAACTGTTGTAATTTATTATAAATGTATAAAATGTTATGTCTTTATAATTGTTACTTGTATAATATCAATTTTAAACTGGATAAAACTAAAAATTAAAAAGCATTTTAATATATTAAAAACCTGATATGCTTGTCAGTATTAACAAAAGGAATTCCTGCTTTTTGCCAAATTTTCTTCACCTCGTAAAGGACGCATGGTAAACATTTTTGGAGACAACCACCTATTTCAGCACATTGTGCAGTAAAGAAATCACCAAGTGGACATAAAGCTATACTAACTGATGAAATGTTTGGAAAATCAGCTCTTAGCATAAGATCTCTGTAATGGTAATATTGCAATATAGTTCTTTTAGTTGGCAATTGTGTGATAGGTATTGTTCCAATTCTTTTTCCAACAAGAAAACTTCACGATGAGATTTTTTACCATAACCATTGCTTGTTGACATTTACACTTAAATGTCAATGTTGTTGTTTTTATTTACACTTAAATGAAAATTTTAAAAATTACGGATTTTTTTTAACTGAACCCCTCCCCCCCTAACTCCCAGCTATACACAGCATGTCTTTTAATGGGTAGGGCTGACCATTTCATTTCATTTTTTGCAATAAAACAAAATATAATCTTAAATTAGATTTATCAGATTTAATAAAACAATAAAAGTTTTCAGAAAAAGTTGAAAAAACTTTTTTTTTCCCTAACCCAAATCCTCAGTTGATGTTGCAGCAACTTCCTTCATTCAGTTGATATTGCAGCAATTCCCTTGTAACTTCACTTCTAATTATTGGAAAACAATTTATTTTTTGTATTGTCAGCATCTGTTTGACTAATAATAAAACATAAATTACAGTATTAATATTAAGATGATGCAAAAACTTATTTGTATTTATGAGATTATAAGTAAGTATAGTTGTTTTGTTTTTTGATGAAATTTAGCCATGTTTGATTTTTCAACCCTAGTATACACAATGTCGATGCATAGCAGTCATCACTTTCTTTTAAGTTTTGTAGTATTTCACTTGCAAAACATGTATTATGCTTGAAGAAGCAAATAATGGTATTTATCAAATACTGTTTACCTTTCCATTCTTAAAAAATTATTTTTCAGTTTCAGAGATTTTTTCACAATATCCACATCACCAGCACCAGAAGATTCCAAAGATGTTTCTTTTTCAGTCATAAATAGTTGTACTAATTGTATCACTGTCATGTAATTTAGATATTAACTCTGAATTTTTGTGAGTTAACTTTATGGTTCTGTTGCATAAGTATACACCTAATTAATAAGTTTTGTTACTCAATTTGAAGTTGTTTTTTTAGTCTACATTTTAGTTTAGTTTGAACTTTTGTACTCGAAACAAAAACATAACAAGAATAGAAGCAGGAAAGAGCACAAGATATATTTAATATATTTAACTATATATTTAAACTAGTGTTTAATGTTATTTAATTAGATTTAATTAAGTCTTTATTTAACTTAATTAGGTGTTTTTTTTCTTTAGTGAATCAAACATTTATTGAAAAAAATTGATCTAAATGTTAATGAGCTCTTATCATAAGTAAAATGAATCAAAATAAAAAATATTTGAAAATTAAAGAGTAAACAACAAAAAACAAACAACTATCAGTTCATATCTTGGGTGGATCTTCAAATGATGTTCTTTCTCTTTTAAACAAGGTGCAAAAGCGTGTTGTAAGCATAGTTGGATCTGCTCTTGCAACCAACCTCCAACTATTATTATAGCGTCATCGTGTTGCGTCATCGTGTTGCTTCTCTTACTCTTTTCTACAAATACTATAATGGGCGCTTCTCTAATGAGCTAGCATCTCTACTTCTAAATCTACTAAAATCTACTAAATTTCATTCTCCTGTTACTTGTCATTCAATTAAATCTCATCCTTTTACTGTGACTGTTCCTAAGTGCTCCGAAAATTCATATTTGTTTAGATTTTTTTCCTAGAACATCAGTTATTTGGATTTCACTTCCTTCGTGTTGTTTTCCTGATTCATATAATTTGCAATCTTTTAAGTTGTCTGTCAATCGTTATCTTGCTCTATAAATTTCATCTTTTCTTCTCTCCAATAATTTCCAAATCTAATAGTGGTTGCTTGCAGCCTTGTTGGAAGTGAATATGTTAAATAAATTAAAAAATACTGGTGCTAAATCACACTAAATAAAGATAAAATAGAAGAATGATTTTATAGAAGAAAGTCAATGTAGTTGTCAAGTTGTTTAAAAAGTTTTTTTTAAGTTAATTAAAAGTCTAAATTTTATTAAAAATTAAACTTTTAAATTTTTTCAATATTTACAACATTTTTATGGATTTATTTAAATAAATTCAATTAAATGGATTAAATAACCATTAGGCAATGTGAAGAAAAAACTTGGGTAATGTTAGCTATTATGAAAAGCAACAGAACCACTAAAACTCTGGTAATGTTAGGTAAACACTTAGGAAAAGCACAAACAACTCACACCATTATTTTCTTATGTACTGTTTGTTTGTTTTTCTGAAATCTTAAGAAGTCTTGACTCAACATTTCTTTTTTGATATCAATGTTTATCCTAAATGAAAAAATATTTTTTCTGAAAGTTTATTCATTTTGTGGTCTGTTCACATATTGCCCACAGCATGGTTACTGATACTACTACTAAGTTTACATCTCTCTGTTAAGTTTAACAAAGTTTACCTAAAAGGTTCTTTTTTACTTTATAAATATAAAATCTTATAATAATTTTTTTTAATAAATGTTTTATTTTAATATTTAGTTTTTTTTGTTGTTTTTTTTTTTAATGCATTTTAAAAAATTTTCTTCACTTAAAAAGTTTGATTAGATTTTTTAAAAACAAAGTGTTTGTTAGTGTAATTTTGAAAACAAAGTGTTTTGTTAAGTGTAATCGAAACAAATGGTTGCTGGTCTGCTATTTGCTGACCACTAATTTAATAAAAAATCTAGTAAAAAAGTTTTATTTATGCAAATTGTATTTTTTAACGTTTATAAATCTAATTTAGTAAAAAGTCTGCAGGAATTTATGAGTAGAGATCCTGACAGGGTTATGGCTGAAATAGTATCACCTGGCAACCATGCAAATGTTTTATGGTTGTAAGTCTTATCTTTTTTTTAAAACTATGTTTTATTTACATATTAACAGCATCATTCATATTTAAGTTCATTAAGTTGTACATATTTATGTGGTGCATCTTGTAAATTTAAAATTTCTGGAAATGTTTTATTATACTTACAATACTAAAGATATATCGTACACCTGTAGTGGAATACAACATATCCATAGTGAAGTTCAATAGTTACATATAATATTTGTTATTAGAATGAAGTATGTATGCCATTTTAGTTACTCTTACATCAAATTTTTTTAATAATTATTTTTTCGTAAATACTTTTTTTTCAAAAGTGACATCTCATTCTGTTATAAAAAAAAATTTATAATTAGAGTTTCCAAGTAAAATAAGTTGCCAAATAAATAAAATAAATTGCTAAATTCACTCTGGTTTGCATTTCTTCCATATCCAAATAAAATGAATTTAAAATTTTTTTTGTATAGAGATATTTTAATGAGTAAAGTTGGTCTAAAATCTCTTTAAACATTTTAAAAAAAAAGTACTAAAAGTAAAACATTAAATGTTTTACTTTTAGTACTTATTGCATTCATACATTGTGTGAGCATTTAGAAAATAGGTGTTTTTAGTGTTTCTGGTTATAAATGTAATGAATGTATCTTTAATGAATTTAATTAAATTAAAATGAATAGTGGTAAAAGTAAAAGGTTTAATAGTAATTTTTGTTATTTTCATTATTTAGGTGGGGCCTAGGTCAAGTTTAAAAGAGGGTTACACATCATATCTTTTCCAGAGTGTTATGATTTATGGCGATTAAACATAGAAAATTGAGATGAAGTCAGATATCTAGAAAGAACACAAGATTTTTTTTTTCCCAACATCTTCGCTTCCACAAAGACTGCAAGCAACCACTATTAGAGTTGAAAGTTACTGGAAGAGAAAAGATGAAGTTTATAGAGTAAGATAACAATTTACAGACAATTTAAAAGATTGCAAATTATATGAATCAGGAAATCAAGATGAATGAAGCGAATTCTAAAGAACTTATGTTTGAGGAAAAAAACTAGACAAATAAGAGTTTTTGGAGCACTTGGAGGAACAGTCAAAGAAAAAGGATGAGACTTAATTGAATGATGAGTAACACGAGAATGAATTTTAGTAGATGACACAAGAGACGCTAGCTCTTTAGAGCATTATAGTATTTCTAGAATAAAAAAAGCAATATTATGACAATGTGATAATGGTTGGAGATTGGTTGCGAGAGCAGGTTTAACTATATTTACAAAGCTTTTTTGCACCTTGTCTAAAAGAGAAAGAGCATCATTAGAAGATTTCCCCCAGATATGGCAACAGTATTCCATACAAGGACGGATTTGAGATTTATAGAGGTAGTTAGATTTATAGAATAAAATTCTAAGTAAGAAAGAGTTAAGCACGATAAAGAGATGCAACCTTAGCAGATGCTATTTTTACAATGGATTTGATATATGGCTTCCAAGGAAAATCGGAAGTAAGAGTTAATCCTAGAAGATAAAGGGTAGATGACTCGTCGAGTACATCACCATTCATAAATATAGGAAGATTTAAATTATTGAGGTAACCATTGTCTTAAAAAAATTTGGTTTTATCTGAATTAAAGTTCACCAGCCACTGTGAGCCTCATGCTGTAGCAGAAGTGAGATCCTTTTCAAGCTCAAATGCCTCCTCTAAGCAATCAGAGAGTCTTTGCTTCTTATTGTGACAAGAATAAATAGTAGTATCATCAGCAAACAATGCAATCTTAGATGTAAGAATACCTGGAAGATCCTTAATGTAAATTAAAAAGAGTTAAAAAAGAAGTTAAAGGATATGAAGAAGAGTGCTGTTCATTGAAGATAACTTTTATACTATAATTAGAAAGAAAGAATTCAATAATCTTAAAGTTGTTACCTGATACACCATAAGAAGAAAGCTTATGTAGAAGGCCAGCATGCCAAACTTTATCAAAAGCTTTAGAAATGTCAAGAGCGATAGCCTTAACCTCTCCACCTCTATCTTATGTACGATAAAACCTATCAGTTATTACTGTTAGCAAATCTGCTGTAGAACAAGAAGATTGAAATCCATATTGATGATCATAAGTTTTTAGATTCAAGATGAAAGGTTAAGCGTTTGTTAATTAAAGGTTCAAAAACCTTGCTTTAAGCAAGGACCTGAGAATAGCGGGCTTTGGGGTTAGACAAAACCTTTTTACAATAGTTTCTAGCAATAATAAACAGACTTCTGCTTTTTGGAAAATTGTTTTGCTGATAGATATGGAAGTAATGGTTTCGATTGGAAATTGTAGCAGCACAATGTGTGAAAACCATAGACAAGAGTGAGGCTCGGCCTAGAATTGTCAAAAAGGAATAAAAGATTCAGTGTCTGGAAAATGAGTTGGTAAGTTGACTATTTGAGTTAGAGATTGTGAAAAGCAAAATATGTGGGCCTTAATGTCTGCAGATTTGCTAACATCAGAGTCTTCAGTGTAATGAGCATTAAAGTTGCCAACAACAACAATATTGGTTGATGGATAAAGAGAGAGGGCTTCGTTGATTTGATCAGAAATAACATCAAAAAGAGTATTGAGATAAAGAAGAGCAATATAGAATAAAGAGAAAGGCAAAAAAGAAAGTCTTGGGATGAGGGAGAGCGATATAGAACAAAGAGAAAGGCAATAGAGTGAAGTGATGCTAAACAAAAGCACATAAAAGAATAGTCAGTGGATTCAAACCTTGTTTCCTGACAAATGGGTGAATTCTTGCGAATGTAAATGCCCAGGCCAAACATGTGACTGTTGGAGTCTTTACGAATTAAAGGAAGATTTCCATCAACACTAAGATCACAAGATTCAAGAAACTCAAATTAGTCTCACAGAGAGCAAGTAGGTCTGGTGAACTTTGCAGGAGATAAGACTCAACAGAAGAAAAGTTACTTTGAAGACCACAAATATTAGTGAATAATAGGTTTAGAAAATTTGGTGATGACAATGGTTTTTTGAGTTTTATATTTTTTGGTACTTTTGTCATTTTTAAATTTGTTAAAGAACTTTACTTAAAGCATAGATAGTACTCAGTACGCAATTTCCTCAATACTATAAATAAACCTTAAGCCTTAACAAAGGGCTCCAAATGTGGTCTCGACAATGCACACCAAAAGTACAAACAGGGACACCATCCATGCGTAACATGGCACTGTTAGTATTCTGATATTTTACAGCTGTTGATGGAATCAGCTCTGAGAGCTATCACAGAGTTCGGGAAACCTGATTATCAGCCGGCCTCAGAACCATAAAACTAAGTTTTAGAGCTTGCCTGATCATAAAAACAGTAACACAAGCAAAAACCATGCATTGAGTCAAGAAGATCCAGTATTCAACATCCTAAACTGGAAACAATGTATTATAAATACATCTGCACCAGCCTAATTGATGAAGAAGGGGTGTGAGGCTGGTCAACAGATAGAATCTGTTTACCCCTTAAGTCTTTGCCTAGGAGGCCTTCTATAAGACAGTAGCCAGATGTGTTTAACATGCATTTTGCCCTAGATGAATATTTTTATTGAGACACCATCTCTAGCCTTTACTCATTCAAGAGCCCCAAGGCAGGGGGTGTTTTAAGTCGGAGTTGGCTTTTTCTAGCCTTTGCCTAAAAAAGTGTGTCCTACAAGGCAGCAGAGCATGAAGCAGGTTTTACTAGTTTACATGTTACCAGTAGCAGGATAACCTGACCTGACAAAATCCATATGAAATAACTCATATGATCAGGAAATAACAATGAAATAACAAATATGATCATTACGAAATAACAAATATGATCAAAATAACAGATTATCATCAGGTAGATGTGTTGCGTGACTCTAAAAGATCAGGTATATGTGTTATGTGGCTCTAAAAGATTAGGTAGATGTGTTGTGTGACTCTAAAAGATAAGAACAAAAGTCATGATCTTAGAAACAAATTAGGAGTAGTGAGTGTATCTAATAGGGTGCATTAGTGAGTGTATCTAATAGGGTGCATTAGTGAGTGTATCTAATAGGGTGCATTAGTGAGTGTATCTGATAGGGTGCATTGGGGTATGTTTTGATGGTTTTGGGAATATGAATGTAAAAATGTAGATGATTGGGTATCATCATATAGAGAAATGACATAAGAAAAAGGTAGAAAATGGAAAAATTAGAGAGCTCATTATTACAGATGACATGAAAAAACCTCAGCCAAGAAAAGACGATGCTCAAAATTTTGTATATTTAAAAAACCACATAATAAAAAACATGCAACCCACACACTCGGTGTAGTTAAGGCAGTTAGCGTTTGTATGATATTTTGTTGACTATGACATATTTCCGTTAAATGATCAGGTCTGTGAATTATGAGAAGACGAAAAAAATTAAAATTATAAAATAAAAAATTTTTGTTGAGAAAGAACCCAGACAAAAAAAGAGAAAAAACCCAGAGTCTTTTTTTTTTTTTAAATCTTTTTAAATTCTCAATCCCTTCAATGTCCAAATTTGAATAAGGTTTTAAATAAATGCGTTTTTTAGGTAAAATGAACATCATAGTTTAATATTATCATGTGTTCTGATCATTTATTGGCGCTTTCTCTTAATTATAAGCTCTTTCTTGGTTGGAATTCTAGTATTTTTTTGTGAAAATTGATAGTAATATTGTATTTTGACAACTATATACAGTTAATATACGTCTGAACGGATTAGAACTAGAATCAATAGTAAATTAAGGCACTTTTTCAAAAGATTTTAACGAAATTCATGTTAACGCCGATGTGCAAAAGTGATCTAAAGGCTCCAAAATGATGTTCTTTAGATTCACTATTAGGGGTAGTTAAAAGGTTTTGAAAATTATATAAAAAATAGAAAAGTTTCTTCAAATATAAAAAAAAACCTGAAGCAAAAAAAGTTATAATATCTAAAGCTTTTGTTTGGACATAATATGCTTATAAAATCATACTAATTTCAAATAAAAGAATTTGAATAATTTGTAAATCGCTTTAACTACACCGAGCATGCAAAAGCCTTATATTGTCAATAAGTTATTATTTCTAATATAAAAAACTTGTGGTGGTGATGTTTAAATGCATTCTTTTGAGCATAAATTATGGCCTTGACTTTAGTAGAGACTAAATCTAAATTTATAATCACTACTGGCTGCTAGTATTTTTAAACAAGCACTACTGACTTTTCCTTTCATTCTAAACAAAAAACTGACATTTAGGCGTTTTGTGCAGTAAAGTAAAAATTTAATTTAGACAAAAGTGTCTTCCAAAGCTTTATATTGAATATAAATTATTAAATGTTATTAATATTTATATTTTTACTGATTTAAAGTTAGATTAATAAGTTAATATTAATAAATTTAAAAAAGTAAAAAATAACGTTTTCATATTCTGTTTTAGATATTTTGAGGAATATTTTTTTCTGAATTTAAATATATATATGTATATATATATATATATATATATATATATATATATATATATATATATATATATATATATATATATATATATATATATATATATATATATATATATATATATATATATATATATATATGGGATGATTGTTGATTTTGGTCTTAAAACTCTTGACCTTGAAACTCAGTGTTTTGGTCTTAAACCTTTTGGCCTTGGCCAATTTTTAAAGACTTAATTTTATCTGAATTTTTAAAATTTTCTATGCATTTAAAAATGGCACGCTTCATATATTCTACTAATTTTGACCAGCTATTAAGCAATAGTGACTGTCATCAAAATACTTTTCTGTACATGTGTATGTAAGTGTATATATATAAATACTAAAGTGAATACTTTAATATTATCATGTATAATTTTGTATACTTAAAAGAGTGCTCATTAGATAAACTAGAGCTATAAAGTATATATGTTACTATTGCCCACAGTACCAGGAATTAGCTAAATAGCTGATATTTATAATAGAAAGTTAATGCTCAGAGCCTTGTGTGTTCCCACAAACATTAGATAAGTACTAAAAAATTAGATAATTATAAAATATACATAAATATATAACTATAAAATATATGTAAAAATTTATACTCTGTATTTATAGAGCTCGATCTGTCTCTGTATTAGAATACTTAAAAAATATGTTTAAAGATATTTATGTATGCTTCGATATTTATATGATAAAATATTTGAAAACCCTTAGTTATTTTAATTTTTATTCTTTTTTAAAGTTTGCTAAATTTTTTATATTAGAAATTCAAAAGTACAACCATTTGAAGTTGAAAAGTTTTTAGAAGAAATTAAGTGAGATTTTTTTTTACATATCTATTTTTAAACTGTTTATTTTTATAACTATATATAGTTAATTTTATAACAAATAAAAATATATATAGTTATGACCTGTTCATGACTTTAAACTGATTCGTAGTAGACACTAGATAATTGGTATCATATAAGTCGATACTGAGAAGAATGGTCTCATATCGCGTGGTATCGCTTATATACTAATGTCGATATTATCAGTATTGGCTCGATACCACTCGATATCGAGAAGGATGGTCTTGTATTGTGTGGTATCGCTTATGTTCCAATATCAATACTATCAGTATCACTTCGATACCAAACGATAAAGATAATTAAAAGAATCGTATAATATTGCATGGTCTTGAATTGAGACTCTCAATAAAACAAAAAATTAAAATGTGACTTATTGAATTTTTTGTTAACAAAATACAAGTACAATTGCTTTTTAGAGATTTAGTTATTATTTTTTAATAACCTACAATACTTCGGCTATCGTCCATTCGTTGTTTTTTCTTTTGCCGTACTTTCGTTGATATTTTAGGATTTTCTTTTATTAATTTTGGCGAAGATAAGTCTAATTCATGTTCTATATCACTTTTATTTTCTTGTTCAATGGGCCATTTTTTGATGTAATTTTCAAGAGCGGAATAATTCTGCATTATAAATACAATCTTATCTGCCTTGTCACTATCGAGATTGTATCTACAATCAGTGATGACAAGGCCAGAAGCAGAAAATGCTCATTCAGATGATGCAGAGTTTGGTGGAGTTGCCAACCAAGATCTTGCAACACCCGAAAAGATAGGAAGTTCCGCTGCATGCTGCTTCCGCCATGCTAAGGTGTCAGTTTTACCTGCATTTTTGAATTTTATTTGTTTTTGGTATTTTTCCATTTCTAGTTTAATAGGAGGGTTTTCGTGTATATGATATGAATTAGTATCTTTCTTATACTTTGCTAAAATAATATTGTATTCATTTTCCTCCCAACCTTGTGCATTATCAGTAACTGAATCGTTACTATCGTTGTTAATACTGGAGCTTGAGACAGACAATGAAGAATTCTCAAAGTATTCCTTGGTTGTGGGATGGTTTTCAACCAGTTTTTGAATATTTTCATCTTCAACATCAAGAAGATGTCCACGAAAAAATGGATGAAGGTAATATCCTAGTGCAAATGCGGGTAATTTACGGCCTTTGTCTGGGAATCTCTTATTTAGTTCTGATAATAAGTCTTCCAAGAATTTTTCTACTAATTTGTTGTTTCCATGAGTAAAATAATAATTTTTTACTTTCTCGATGAAGTTGATGAGTGCTGTTAATTTCCACAGTGACATGTCAATTTGGATCTCTGTGGCAGAAGATAAAAAACTGATAATTCTTTAACAGATTTAAGCATTGAAACAATAGCTTCAAAGAATAGGAACTGTTCATCTGTAGGTACGGTTTTCTTCCAATCATCACCTTCTGTATCGCGTAAGTATATGAGTCAAACCTTCAGTCGAAGCATGGCGTGCAGCATATCGTAATGGCTCTTCCATCTCGTAGTTACTGTGGAGGGTATTTTTAGGTAACTCACATCTAACTTGGAACAAGCATCTTTCAATGATGCTTTTTTTTTTTAAGTTTTATAAATAACTTCCTATGTTGTGTTTGAACTTTCGCAAGTCAGTAGTGTTTGCTTGCTTTGTTGCAAGCTTATTTCCACAAGTTTTACACAGAGCAGATTCTCCTGAAAATGTAAAATACAGTTCAATAACAAATAAAATGATTAAATTTTTTTATTATAATATTATTTTATTTTTATTAAAAACACTTGGGGTCTGAGGCAAAATTAAGTTTTTGGGGGTATATACTGTAAATTTTACCTCTAAAAAATGTCAAAGGAGTTAAATAATTTTGGAAATATTATTACCAAAAAAAGACCCTTCGATAGGCGTGAATTTAATTTTTTTTTTTTACAATTAGTTAGTAGATATCTTTATGTGAAACAAAAAAAAAATCAGAGTGGACCGACATACAACCTGGGAATCAATTTAGCACACTGTGCTTTTTGGTTTATGAATTATTGCTCCTCTAATTAAAATAATTTTTTTTTTCTTAATAGTAAATAATAATAGTTATAACGTAAAAATGTAAAAAAAACCTGCATTTTTAGTTAAAAAAAAATTAAAAAATGTTAAATGCTCATGAAAGACTTGAACTTAGAACTCCATGCTTATATTAAGGGGGGGTGCAAAATTGTTTTTTTTTTTGGATTTTGTGTAGTTTAACCAACTAATGTTAATTAATTTTTTATGCTGATTTCGAATTAATTAATACTTTTTTTTCATTTTAAATATTTGGCCTTCTACTTTAATTTCAATAAAAGTGGTTATTTTGACAAAACAATCAATTGTTAAATTAAATGAAATCATTATTATCAAAGAAGAATCTGTGTAAAATTTTTTTTGGTTTTATCAATAAAATACGTAATCATTATGTGTAGTTATAAATACAATAAAAAACTAGGCATTATACATGAAATTACTCCATATAAGGAATTGTTTGCAACAATTCCGTGTGAAACTGAGAAATAACTTTTTGAGTGATTTGAGTTCTTTTTTAGAATCAAGAGGCTCAATGTTGGCTCTGATCACATAAGCGACATTAGTAAGGAAGGATGTGTAAACTTTCTAGTTAAATTGTTTTTTCAAGGTGCTTTGTGATAAGAGGCATAGTTCTTCTTGAAGCACCTTAACAACTAAAAAAAAAAGTCATCGTAGGTGATTGTTGATTGTTGTGTGGACTTTCTAAGTTAAAAAATCAAAATTTAAACTATTAGCTTATTCTTCTGTAGACATAAGTATTGTATTTTTATCAATGATTATGATTTTAAATAAAGTGGATCTTTGCTGTAATGATTTACTATTATTTGATTATTACTAAAATAAACATTTCATTCATCAGTCGTTTTTGACATTTAACATATCTTTCTGTTTTCAATATATTTATTGACATATAATTCACAATGGGCTGCCTTGTAATTTCAAACAAGCTAAAATATAATATCTATTGGACGCCTAATGTAAAGCTTACAGCTCTTTTTTTGCTAGTCTTTTTTGTCTCAATGGTTTCTGTCACTGGTTTTAACTGTATTTTATATTTTCAAATTTTTTATTAGCGAGACACATTTCCTGAAATATTTCTAAATTACCTAAATTTTAATTTCACAATGGTTTGGAAATATAAGTATATTACCACGAGAATTTTTTGTAATTGACGGTATTTCCGAAGCTCATTGCCACGATTAAAAACGTAATACATCAGTTATTCCATTATTGTATCTTCTTTCCAAACTCATAATATTTCCTTATTTTTTGCAGAAATAATACAACCGTTCAAGTTTTTGATGCATATATACAAACTTCTTCTACAACTACTGAGCAGTCAATCTTATTTGATGAAAATTTCTGAAATATAATTTATTGTTGACTTTATTAAAGACAAGTGCAAAAATAACCTGAGCAAAGGCAATTTTGTATGATAAAATTCCTCTATCACTAGGAAGTTTCTAAAAAAGTTTATTAATTTTGATTTATTTGAATACTAGTCTATGATTCATTAATTTATTAGTCTGTTACTTCTTGTTGCAATATTTTAATTGGTATCTAAATTCAATTTCAAAATTAATTTCAAAGTATTTTCTAACGAAAGCAAATTTTTACACTTGATAATAAGACTTATTTATTTTTGTTTAAACTCATTTTAATTCAAAGTTATCCAATCAAAATTTAAATTGCATAGACTTTAACATAAAGTTGCGTAACTTTACACGCAGAAAATACGCTGCAAAGATTTCTAGTTTTTTAATATTTATAAAATGTTAAAAATTGAAGTAGAGGGTCAACCACAAAAAAATTAGCAAAAACTTGTTTATTGAACTTTTCGAAAAAAAGTTCGTTAAGAATAATTGGTTAAACAAATAATATAGAATGTTATACGCTTGGCCACGCAAACTTATGCGTTTTAAAGATAATTTATTATATGTAATAGTAATTCTGCCGGTAATTAATTTTAGAATTATTTCCCGACAATGCCGGCAATTACCTTTTAAGATAAAGTATAAAAAATACTTGTGTAAATAATAAGTAGTGCTTACCTATATTCTTCTTGAAATAATCCCAGATTAAAGATGTTGTAAAAGGCATAACGAGTGAAGATTAGTTTTCTTTAATAACTAAAGTATACTTATGTTTAATTGTTTAAAACTAAAGTTTAGTTGTTGAATGTTGAACACAGAACAAAGACCAGGCAAGAATGACGGTTTCACGAGAGATTTAATTAAGGTAACGGTACCAGAAGAGAAATTAAAATGTGAATGCGATATCGCACAATTAATTAAATTAAAATAATTGTGTTACGAAATCAATTTCCTTTGAGCAATCATTTCTAATAAGCGTTTAGAATGATCATTAACGATTGCATCCCAAGCAATTCCCTTTAGAGAATTTTATGAAAAACTCTCTTTAATAATAGTTACAAAACTAATTCTCTTTGAACAACCATTTCTTATACTCGTTTAGAATAATCATTAACCATTGCCTCACAAGCAATTTTCTTTAGAGAATTATATGAAAAACACTCTTTAATGATTGCAAAACTATTCCCTTGGAGATTAATTCCGCACAGAAAATTTTCGCTTGAATGGAATAAAAATTCGATAGAGTTGGAATAACTATATGGGAAACTACACATTGCAGAGGCTGATTCATGTCATTGTTCTAGAGGGGTAGTCAGACCAAAAAAAATATATAAAAAAAGGTTTGCGTTTTTCCAAAATAAAACAACTGTTTCATTTGGTATTTAAAATGATTTTAGAAAGGTTATAGGATAGTTAGTAATAATAAATATATTAAATGGTTGTAAATTTTTTGTATTTTTTCTTATTATTTTAATTTTGTTAATAATATTTTGAATTATGACATATCTTAGGTAAGGGTAACTACTCCCTAGTTACCCCGAATACCCGAATAAAATAATAAAAAATTCAATATAGAAATAAATGTTAAAAAAATCTTTTCTTTCCTTTTAATCACGGTAGAAAAAATTGTAATAAAGATGAAAAATTAAAATACAGAAGTAAAATTACTATTTCAAATTACTAATCGTTTATAAAAATAACATGGAAGTTCTCATGATGACCCGAGTTGCAATACCAAATAATACTATCGGTACCAAACAATACCAATATAACCGATAACTTTTGATAAGTAAGGTATCGAGACCAAACGATACCAACATAAACTTAAATAAAAGTAATTAACTTCTTTTATCGCTTGTGGTTTTGGTCATAATTAGTAATATAAATTTACTGGAAAAAATTCATTTTAAAACGAGTAAGCTTTGAAATTTTTATAGAATTTTGTATTCAAATCTGTACCTCATAAGACAAAGGTCGGTTGTCCAGTTTTTTATGAAAATGAGTTATGTATGAGTCCTTTTTAGTTTTTTCAGTATCTACACAGAGGTATAAAGACTGTTGTCCTACCACAATGTGAAACAAAGTTTTTTATATATATTTATTTTTTACTTTTCAGTCCATTTCGAAAATGTTGCCTAATAAAATATTTTTTTTAATATATATTTTAATGATTTCTTTTATTTACGCTAAAGTTTGTTTCGCGCCCTTGGTTATAATTACTCTTTTTTAACGATTTCATTTATTTGATATATAGACTAATTTTTTAACTATTTCTTCTCTCCTGAACAATTTCTAAAATGTGACGACCGGCCTTTGACTTGAGGTACAGAATTAAAATAACTTGATGTTTGTCCAGAGTAAAACTTTCAAATTTACTTGCCGGTAATTTTCTAAATTTACCGGTAAATTTACAAGTTAAGTTTTACTAAAGTTATATTTTTTACTTTAAAGTTATATTTGAAATTACTTTTAACAGTTTTAATAACAGGTAATTAAATATGAAAATGTATATTTAAGTAAATATATTTTAAATAAATAAGTAAATATGTTTTGTCGCTCCCGTTATAGTTAAATAATCTGTTTAGCAAAGAGATTTTTTTTATTCTCCTGTTGAGTTTTTTGTTTCGTCTAATTTTTTAAAGTTTAAGTATCATTTCCTTTAAACTAATCGCATTTTAAGTAACTTTTGTTTGACTTTATTTCATTAACGCATTTATATACATAAAATAAACTCAAATGAAAAGCAAATTAATAATGTCGCCACATGATATCTTACTCTGCACTAATGCAGAAAGTGATTTCTGTTGTAAGCAAGTTTTACTGAAACATCCTTTTTAGAGTGGGTTTATACATTTTTATTTCTATAGTTATTATTTTTTTTTTTTTTTTTTGTTATTCTATAGTTTTAATAACTTTGATAAATTTTCCTAAATGCATTTAAATCCTTTCAAAAAGATAAAGTATTTACATTATTTATTTGAAACGGCGATATGATTAATTTAGTAGAAAACCATTCAACTAAATGTTTTGAGTTTGTTGATAATCTTCAATTAATTGAGGGATTTTTAAAGAATAATTTTCGTATGATTTTTTTTTTCAATTATGTTTTAAATAAAAATTGTTTAAACTTAGGACTGGCCTGTATCCTTTAACGGGTATGGAATCCAGAAAGAAGAAAACCGAGATAAGACCTCAGTTAAATCCATCTCGCCCTAAATCTCCTGAGGATAATAATAATAATCAAGGAAACGAGGACGATGAAAACAAGCCAGAAACTAGATTGGTAGTTAATTTGTATATTTACTTCTTCTTAATATTCATTTTTTTGTTTGTTTTATATATATATATATATATATATATATATATATATATATATATATATATATATATATATATATATATATATATATATATATATATATATATGTATATTTGTTAAAAGATTATACAAATTTCTTGTGCTGTTAAACTACAAGACGAAGAAAAACATCTTACACTTACATTACGTTTTGAAGATAAAATGAATAGACAGCTTTCATGCAAAGTCAGCCAAAATGAAACAAGTATGGATCTCGCATGTGAGCTTGTAAAATATGGTCTTATAAATGAGGTATTTTTAGCGATTATTTAATATCAATTGCTTTACTCTATGATTGTTTTTTCTTTAACATTTAGTTAACTATTTTTTATGCAGAATGACTGTGATCAAGTTGCTAACAAAATCGAGGAATGTTTGCACCCGTCGTAAGAAATACTTGCATCCGTCTTAGGGAGCAAGTTAAAATTTTTAAAAACATTTGATAGGGCGTTGCTATCACTTTCACCACTATATCGCTATCTTCATTATTCAAGTTTGATATTACCCAAATGAGCTTTTAATAAGCTCCTCATATCCAGATTTTTTATTTATGCCTGGTTATTTTACGTCCGTGCGTATTTTTGCCTGTAACCTGTTATATTTACAATAAATCAATTTATTTATATTTTTATTGTTAAATATTTTTATTAATTACAAATGTTTTTTATTTTTCTTTAAATATTAAATATGCAAAATAATTTATGCGTTATAAATAGACGTTAAATTTGTAAATTTTAGATATGTAAATATGATATTGTTATGTAAATAATATAAAACAAAAACCCAAAACGAGTTGTTTGTTTTTCTTTTTTTTTATATTTTCTTGCTTTCAATTGTTTTTTATTTACCGTTCTTTTTTTTTTTTTTTTTTTTCTTTTTTTTGCCGTTTGCACTTAACTAAATCGTTGAGTGGATCACAAACGCCGTCCACTAATTCAACCTTTTAAAATATGCAAATCCATACCTAAAATAAAGGGATTGGTTAAAATTTTTGTTCGAATTTTCGAATTTTTAAGACCATTTATTGGCGGCGCTTTAATTTTAACTCTTTAGCGAATTTAAATACTCAAAGAAAGTTTGGTTTTTAATAAAGCGTACACAAGATAAATGTTTGTCAACAAATATTCCTAAAAACTTCATAGAATCTTTCAGTTTTGTTTATTATTTAAAATAAAACTAAGAGAAATGTGGATTACTTGCATTTTTTAAAGAAATAATGTATACTTTGTTTTTTAATGAAATAATATATATTTTGTTTTTTAATGAAATAATGTATAGTTTGTTTTTTAATGAAATAATGTATACTTTGTTTTTTAATAAAACAATGTATAGGGGAAGTTTGCATAAGATGAGCAGGTTCCTAAGATTGTGTAACCTCTTTTACGGGTAGACTAATGATTTTTTCGCAAACTTTTTTGGTTAAGAATATTTATACAAATTCGACGGTGTTATTTTAATTTCTTGGTTGCATAGTTAATATTCTTTGATTATTTTACTGTTAAAAAAATTTACCATCCCCATGCTTATCCACTGCTAATTTCATGGGTTACATGAGATAATACATAAGCTGTAGTAATGCTATTTAAATTATGATAGTACTTAATGAAGTTGCTTACGGTGATGCGTTTTTAGACGCTCAAGATGAGATGCGGCTTTTTATTAAAAAAAGCGCGTTTTTTTTAAGTTATTCTCCGCGGACCTTTCTTTTGGTATTTCAAGAGCAAAAGTTTTTGCAAAAAGTAGTATCGTTAACTTTTTTAGAGATAGGAAAGATTTCTTATTTTTTTTTTTTTAATTTATGGTTAAGATAAATACTTTTTACTTAAGTATATTCCTTGAAGATACATTTTTATTTAATTTTTTTTTTGTGATTATTTTTTTGTTATTTTGAGTTTTTTTGAGTTTTATTAAAAAAAACTCATCTTAGGAAACTGGTTTCCTAAGATGAGTTCTTAAGATGAAATGACTGGGTGTGTTGAAGAAAACACAATTTTTGGTATAAACATTTTTTTTTTTAATGAACATTTCATTTATATTCTTTGAGAGGAAAGATTAAATTATTATTATTCTTAAAAAAATATATATCTTTTTGTAATCTTTTGGGAGCAAAATACATTATTCTGAAAACATGCTAACATGCTCAACTTACGCAAGGACTTCTAGGAGCACTTAAATATATATATATATATATATATATATATATATATATATATATATATATATATATATATATATATATATATATATATATATATATACATATATATATATATATATATATATATATATATATATATATATATATATATATATATATATATATTTAAGTGAAATATAAAGAAAATTATAAAGCCGTTATTTTTTTGATCGACTAATTTAATAGTTGCTTGTTCGGTTAAGTTATTTTTCTGAAATCTAAATTGTTTTGTATAAATATAATTGTTTTTTGTAAAAGGGTCAAAGATTCTAATGTAAATTGTACGTTTGAATAATTTTGAAAATACCCCAGTGGGCACCGGACCAAAAAAAGACGTATTTTGAACGTTCAGAAAAAGTCCAAAACTTTCAAAAGACGTTCAAAAGACGTCCAAAACATTTAGAAGACGTTTTAAATACGTCTTTTTTACGTCCGTGCTCACTAGGACAGAAAGCACTGGTTATAAGCTTGTTGTTGGAAACGTTAGATTTTTTGCGCTTTTGCTAGTTATAGTACGTCATGAAATACGTCATTCAATAAATGTTTTACTAAATAGAACAATAATACTTTTTTGTTTAAAATAAGTATATTACTGGCTATATCGTCAAATCCTGATGGTTTTTCTTTTTTATTGAAAAAAAAGCCGTTTAAAATTTCTTTAATATTACGTTAAAATTAATCCAATGTCATCCGACGTTTTTAGATTTTAAATTTTTGAGATTTACTAATTAAAAAGAATTATGGAGCGATGTAATTTTATTAGGAAAATCAAGTTCAACATTTGTAACATATTTAAATAGTTGTTTAGTACTGAGTATATCATTATTCTTGATACTGATTTATTTTAGTAGTGAAATTTTTTTTTTTTGTTATTTCTTATTATATCTTATTTTATATTATTACTTACCATATTTTTTTAGTATCAACCATAAATTTAGTAAATTGTTTTTTGTAATATATTTTTTTAGTTTTTTTAAGGAGATTTTAAGGAGATTTTCAAATATTTGTAAGTTTAAAGTAGTTAATTTTATAGATTTTTGTTTGGTTTTAGAGCATTTTATAAATGTCTTACTCATCCTCTGGTATTAGCAAGCGTTTTTGTTTTTCTTTTTAATACTTCATATGGACACGCTTTATTTAAAAATCTCTTGAAATTTGATTAAATATAAATTACATGCGTCATTTCAAAGTCAAACTTTGGTAAACACCGCTCCAGTTTTCTTGTAAATAATTAGCGAGATAACTGTTTGTATTAAAAGTTAAAATGTTGCGTTTTTTTGTATTTTAAACTTTGGCTTGATCATCAAAAATAACATAATATTTTTTTATTATGTATTTCGAGATTTCTAATATAATATATAGACATATTGTTTTTAAATATTCCTGCCTCAAATGATATTTCTAAGTAAATTTTAATAAAAATATTGTCAATAATAGTTGCAGACGTTCTATATTAGTAGTGAGTTTTCAAAAGGTGCTAAGTCCGAGTAAACTGATTTTAAAAAACCGACGAGAAACAGAAATTGATATTTTCTCTAAGTATTACGACCAAGAGTCTAAAATTAGATCTAAAATACTATCTAATATAATATATAGACATAACTAAGTCTTTTTATGAAAAATTTAAATGTATTGATAATAAATTTAAAATCTTATCTGCCAAAATAAATATTTTTAAAAATAGAGAAAATTCTTTTTCTATCCTAAAGGAGAAAGTTGGTTTTTAAGATCTAGATTTATTAAGAAAGAAAGTTAAATTTAATGACGTTCAAATATTAACCTTTGAAACTAAACTATAGTTTAAATTCAAAGGGTAACATTCGAACGTTCAAATATTACCTTTTGAATTTAAACTATAGTTTAATTTCAAAGGGTAATATTTGAACGTCATTAAATTTAACTTTCTTTCTTAATAAATCTAGATCTTAAAAACCAACTATAGTTTAATTTCAAAGGGTAATAATTGAACGAAAGGGTAATATTTGAATTTCTTATAAGAATGCGGAGGTGGCTAATTATAGCTATTTATAAACCTCCACATCAGAACGATGAATATTTTTTAATCAACTTAAAAGTCTTCATTTTTATTTGCAATCATATAATCATTATATAATTATCGAAGATTTTAGTTTACAACCTCGTCATAAACAAATGAAGGAGTTTCTTTGCCTTTATCAATGTAGTAATTTAATTAAGTTGACTTGATTTGTTTTAAATCCATTGTAAAACTCTCGTTTATAGATTTCATCCTTACAAATAGAAAGATGTTTTTACAACATTCTAAGATTATCTGTACCATCACGATCTTATTTTTATAATACTTAGGTCTACTTCTGCAAGTTATTTCCAAAAAAATTAATTTAAAGGACTTTTAGAAACTTTTAAACTGATGTTTTTTCTGAAACAATAAAAAACTAGTTGATATGTAATGACATAAATGAATTTAATAATATCGTTTGAGATTCTCTAAATCTATATGCCCCAATTATATGCCCGTTATACGCTAACGTGTAATGGAAACTTAATGTTGCATTATCTCTTATAAATAGTGTTGTGATTTATTGGCTTTCTCCTTGTAACGTTCCGGATTATGTTGAACCTGCTATCATAAGATATGCAAACCATCCTAGTATTACAAACATTAAAAAAAAATTTGAATTGCATCCTCAAAATTTTGATTTCAAAGTCAAACAGTGGTTATCTGTAACAAGACGGTCTTCTTTAAGTATCCGCGTCTTCTATTTTTAACGAAGCGAATGTATTAAAGATGGATGGATAAAAGTTTTAACCTTCTCCAGTAAAAAATCTGCAGTGCAGATACGCGGTATTATCCAATGCTAGTTACGCGGTTTTGCACAAACCACGGCGATATATACATATGAAATATAAATATATTGGTGCGTATTATGCACGCATATTAAGGTGTGTCATCCTATCGCTTTTTTTGGGATTGAAACCCTGTATTCTAACTTGTTCTTTAAATTATTTAAAATTATTTTAAAAATCTGAAATATTTAAGTTACTGGAATTAAGCATTCACTTAGATTCACAAAAAGATATTTGTGATTTAGGATTCACAAAAAATACAAAAGAAATTTCTTACAGAAATATTAAATTTTTATCAGAAATTTATTTTCTACAAATTAGTAAATGGGTCAGCGTAAAAAGCTAACAACAAAAAGTTATATATATAACCACAAATATGTAATTTTGAAACAAACTTCCTCGTAGCTTAACGTAATTTTTCTTTTTAAATTCAAGTCTGAAATATTTGTGCACATGTTTTCCATATAATTGATGCATCTACTTAACTTTTAACAGGCGCATTTGTTACAGTCTTTAGTTTATAGAGAAAAATCTACGAATTTAAGTAACAATAGTCTAAAAAATGGGTAATGAAAGATTTAATGCATTTCTATCAAAAATTAACATCTCAAGTTTCTTAACCTCTTTTTTGAAATAAATTGAATACGAGTTTGCTATAAATTTATTCAAAAGGTCTGGTATCTGCTTGCAAAATTAAAAATTAAGTTATTAAGTTATTAAAAAATTAAGTTATTAAAAATTAAGTTATTAAAATAAAAAAATTTTG